GTTCATTCTTGGCATTGCCAAAAGCTTTTTTGATTTAACATTTTGGTTTCAGTCACTTTGTTTTGTATTTGCAGAATGTAGTTATGAGTTAAAGCATCTACCCTTGAAGATGTGATGAGTTTATTCCTAAAAAAATCACATGCATAGGAATTAGTTCAAAGGTAACATTCCTAGCACTTGCCCAGCAGTTACAGTTACAAGTAATAAACCTAAAACCCAGAGCAATCCTCCCTGTCTTGCTGTAAGAGCTGCTTCTTTCTTCGTCATTGGTCATTGCTGTCTATTTGAGCTCACTTAGTCTGTCTTACCAGTCCTCTTCTGCCTGACCTTTTGAAATGAAAATAATGTAGGGCTTGAGCTGTCCCATGTTGCATTTCTCACGTGTTCATTGTGTATTTGTATGTATATATATGAATGTTATGTATTTATATGTGTTCTCAAATATGTGTTCATTAGCTGAAACCCTCATTAACAGCCTAGATCTTCATGAAAGACTTGGAAATATCTTTTAGCTTTACCTTGTGGCCTGCTATACTCATCCTTTGCTTTTCTACTATTGTTCTTCTTTCTGTTCTCAAAATGAAAGGATTAATTTTCAAAACCTCTCTTACACAGTTAGACACAGTTTATTTTTAAAGTGTTTTAGAAGCTCACTTTGTGCCTCTCTTCCTCAGGGGTGCTTCCTTTGCTTCCATCCTGCCAAGAGCTAGTTTAAAAAACTTTTTTAGTAAGTTCAGTCACATTTCAGTGGAGACCACCCATCTCGTCCCATTCGAGTTGAAAACAAACAGAAAATTACAGTAGATAGCTGATCTGTTTGAAATTCCCTGATTTCTAAATTCTGCCTCAGGTGATTTGCTTTTCTTGTGGTTTAAGTGATCCTTTGATAATCCTAAAATGATTTATCTTTAATTTGAGGTTATTGTCCAATTTCCTGAACTGCAAAACTGGATGGCCTTACAAAGCTCACAGATGAACTGGGTGGATGCATTGCAAAACAAAGAAAACAGCTTTTGGCTACACACACGTTTACTTTCCCTCTTTCATTGCTCATGGTTATTTTCACAGAGTCATTTTCCTTAAGCACAAATGGTAAAATGTAGGTACGAGCGGTGTCACAAAATAATTGTTGCCTTTAAGTTGCCTCTCAGAGTGTCTGCTCAGGGGTGACATTCATACTCTTATTGTCCTGGGTTTAGCAGCAGCAGTCATTTTTTCTCCTTCTTGGTAGCTGGTGCAGTGCTGTGTTTTGACTTTCGGGCTGGGAACAAAGCTGATAAAAATGACGTTTTGGTTTGGCCAAGGACTTTGTGAGTGGGCCTCGATTGCTTCCAGCCTGGCACCACTCACTGGGAGTAAGTGCACAAGCTGTCTTGGTTGGGGTTAAACCACGACACTTATAATCAGTTTGTGGCTTTCTCCACCTGGGGGATTTATAGCCAAACCACCTGATTAACAACCTGTTGTTTTAACATGCCTTATATACTGTGGCGTTGACAGCTCTTCTGCTAGGGGAGTGTTGAGCTCTGTCACCTTCAGATACTGAATCGTACCAGCTTTTCTCTGCTTTTGTTTGTGTAGCATCTCCTCTTCAAATGACATTTTGGAGGAAACTTCACTCAAGTAAACTGTCTCTGCTAAAGCTTGATTTTTGTGTCTTACTCTTTGGTGACACGCAGACAGTGCTGATTTTGTCAATTGTGTGCCTCCTCCATGCAGCGGCATTCCTCTCACCTCAGGGTCGGGTCCTGTGAATACAGATGTGCTTTATGGTCTATTTTAGTCTGCCAAAATAGCACTTAGGCCGTGCTTTAGAATACATGTTGTATAACACCACTGAGCTGTAACACTCCTTTATCATTTTATAAGCATAACAGCATCTATTTAAAGCAGGAAGCTATACTGTCTACCCATCTGGAGGTCAGGGTGTAGCTGTCTAGTTGCTGCCATGCAATAGGAAAAAAATGCCAAGTTCAAATTTGATCATTTCAGATATTTCCTTTTTTTGTTCAGCCATAAGAATTTTTGTAAGAGGTGCTTTTATTTTAAAGCAGCCTATTAATTTTATAGTATATCTATTTTATAAGGATGGTGGTAGCTGGGAGATTCCTTTTCCAGCCAAGTGGTAGGCTGGGTTGTCAAACCCGGTCTGCTGCTGATCAGGACAGATAAGAGGGAAGGGTGTTCTGAATAACCAAAACACCTGAGTGGTACAAGAAGGTAAGAGGCACTGAATCATGTATGGACTCCTGAGTGCAAAATGAGGATTGTTGTTAGGAGCTGGGTCATTTTTAACTATGCTGATGCTGGAATAGCTTTTGCAGAGTAGCAGGACTAATCCTGCAGTATGCTCTCAGCTGGGTGGAAAGCAATTCTTTTATGATATAACCATTCCTTACCCTTCCTGAGCTATTTACCTTGTAAATACAGCCCCCATCCCTCTTTCCCAACAGGTCTTATTACACATGTCCCGGGCATTCCCTCCCAAATATAGCCTGAATCCTGCTGGGTGCTCTAGTATTGTTATAAGAATTTCGCCTTGACCATGATCTGATTTAATTAATTTTTATTACAATTGATTAATATCGAGAGACAATAAGCAAACAGCGCTGGGTGCGCCGGGGAGTCTCCGCTCCACCCAAGACGCACACCGAGAGTTCTGGGGTACAGTCTCTTATACTCCTCGGTCTTGGGTTTCAGCCAATCCTGTCATCTCCTTCACCCAAATACCAACGTGATCCTTTTTCATTGTTCTCCTCCTGTTGCTGGGATCTTATCTTTGAGTGATGAAACTTCTTAAAAAGTCATTGAATTCCTTGTCAATACATTAATAGGGAATGTCTGTCACAAGCTTAACCACCATCTTAGCCCCCTCAGTTCCATTTCTTATATAGTTACATATCGAATACACAAGTTTCACCTCATTCCGTAACAGAATGTATCCCTTGATTACATAACCCCCTTAAGGTATTCAAGCAGTTAAACAAAACACCCTCTGTAGTTAGCAAAGCATTTGAGACATTCAAGTAGTTAAACAAAGTATCCCTTAAAGTAACAAAGACTTTGATTAGGAAGGATTATTCCTTTGTTCCTTCTTTTCTTTCATCATTGTATTTACAGGAACTCCCATCTTAATCTGATCATTCGTATACATTCTACACATGATTTTTGATTCCTCCCAAAGGGCAATGATGACAAGGACTCCTAAGTTTCTGACACGAATCATTCCTATATACCTCACAGTATTGTGGCAAGGGCTTGGTCAGAACCTGTAAGGTTTGTTATCTCCAGCAAGTGGAGATGTGTCCATTGATGCTGCCACAGGAGATGAATGACTGCTGGGTCTGATCAGTTTTGCAGAGCTCTCATAAATCTTACTGTGTTTGAGACTTAATCTTGTTTTTCAGAAATTCTGTCAAAAGTGGGAGAGATTAAGGAGGTGGATGCGTGATGTGAGCTTAAGAAAATGGATTCAAAACATGTAATGAAACCCAACGATAAGAGTTAAGAAGGAAAATTTCAATGTCTTTTTTGTCTAGTTCTCATTTTAATGGGAAGTGAGCAGTGTCGTCATTTTTGTTTTTCTTATATTTAGAAAGTGTGGGTATGCTTTTGAGAAGCTAGTCAGTAAAGGTGTTTTCAATGAATCAGTCTCATAGGTGGAAAAAAAAACCCACCCAAAAAGCAACATTGCATGTGGCTATGAATGGAAACTGGTGTCTCTTATCCCCAAGTCTGCAGGCAAACTTTATAAGCTGTCATTAATTAAGCACCTGTGTTACAGGTATATCATAACATTCCAGTTTTGCAGTATTGTTTTTGTCATGGTAGGCTCTGTCAGATTGCAGAGGAAGCCAAAGTCAGGCTTGAAGAGCTGAATGTTGTGTGGAGGTGGGATTCCAGTGCAGGAAGCAGACATGTGATTTGTAGAGGGCGAGAGAGATTCTTTTTTAAGCGTAAAAATCCCAGTTTTTAAGATTATAAATGTCTTTAGTAAAAGCAGTGGTGTTTCAGCTCATTTCACAACTCATTTATAATCAGTTGTTTAAACAGACGTTTGTTTTCTTGTGTTAGTATAAAGTGACAATACTGGCAGTGCAAATCAGTGTTTCAGCCGTACTGCTGTGACTGCTCACGGTGAAGTCATGATACAGCTTAAGCACCGATCATCCTCTTGCGCATAGGAACACAGATCTCCCATGCTGTTTCTTTCATATGTAGAATGTCTGTTGTTTTCCCCCATTTTTGCTGGGTGATTCACAGTAAATCGTGGTAAGAAAGGAAGGCTGCCACCTGAAACAATCACTTCCATTTGCTTTTAAATACTGAAAGTGTTGTTATTCCATCACTCTTTTGACAGTGCCTTCTGCTCAGAGACTATAACGGGGTGTAGGGCTGAAATCTCTGTTCTGTGTGCTGGTGTCTTGTTTACAACTTCTATTCACTAATGAGATGTATATTTGAAATGTCTTTTGAAAGGCAGGAGTTGTTGTGACAAGTCAGATTCCTTCTCAGCTAAGTACATACAGCATAAACAAACGAGGATGCAACATAACATACTGTGTAAGGCATCATGGATAGCACTGGAGAGCTACAGGACCCTCTACACAGGCGTTTTAACCTTTTCCCTGGTGATTGTGTTAGTCCTGCTTCTCTTGGCAGCTTTGCATTTTATTTATATTGAAATTAATAGTTTGCTACCTCTTCATGCCCCAAAAAAATCCCTGCTTGGATGTGTCTCTTAATTCATCATTCTTACACCTCAGAGGGTGATATTTCTGAAGGCTGTTAAGGAGGATGTAATAATTTAAGGGTAAATTTAAATTTACTCATTGTTCATGTACAGATACAAGTGCATTTGCTTCTAAGACAAGTGAATTCTTATGATTTTTTTGGCAGGGATCCTGCCCTAGTGTCTATACTGTAAACTGGAGGGACTGGGTACTGGGAGGTTTAATAACTTACTTTATTTTTGTCTTATTTTTATAACCAACTGCCAGGTGTTACAGAAGAGGAGAGGGCTGCAGAACTGCAGGAAACAAAGACTATACCATCTATAAGTAGACTGCCAGTGGATAGTGTGGAACTCGAAGCTCTCAGGAGGTCTGTGGAGGACTTCTTCTGCCTTTGTTACGGTGGGTGCTTCAGAGTCTTCTAAACAGATGTCCTGGATTTCTAACTTTTATTCCAGTTGGGAGGAAAGTACTGCATGATCTTAGCCTTACAACTACACTGCTGTTAAGGTGGTAGTTGTAACTTTTAATACCTGATTCTAAAACATACCAATGCATTGCATAATTTTCTTGATGTGCTTTGCATGGTGTGATGTGAAGGTATTGCACAACCCATTTAGTTTCCTTTCAGGAAAGCCTCTATCATTGTGGGTTCTAGTGCATGTTAATGTGAGCAGTACTTGGTTTCCTGGAGAGATTGGCATCTACACGTTGCTTTTGCTCCAGACCTCTCCAAGTAAAAAGTTTTATGAAGGTCTTATCCTTTTCCCAGTTTGAACACTCTTGACCTCAGAACAATCTCTTTTTATTTTTATTCTCTAGGTAAAGCTTTAGGAAAGTCAACGGTGGTACCTGTGCCATATGAGAAGATTCAGAGGGACCAGTCTGCTTTGGTAGTGCAGGGTCTGCCTGAAGGACTTGCATTTAAACATCCAGCAAATTACGATGTTTCAACCCTCAAATGGATTTTGGAAAACAAGTCAGGGATCTCATTTATCATTAAAAGGTTATTTGCTCTATCTTGTGCTAGTCTGTCCATTCTGGTTTTGTACTTAAATCCAGTTAATTTTAGTTTTTAATGAAATACGTTGCAGCTTGTTTCACTTAAACAGGAGCGCTCTCTCATTAATGTTTCACTACCAAGTAAGTTATGTTGTCTTTGCTAAAACTGTGGGTTTTTCTTTCTGTATTTCCACACAGGCCTTTCCTAGAGCCAAAGAAACACCTAGGTAAGTTGCTACTTACTCAGACTGAACAGAAATCAGAATTTTAGGTTAGATAGCAATGTAGGCACAAGTTTTAGTTGTGTGGATAAAGTGGCAAACTGTGCAGAAATTCTGGAATGCGAGCTGTCTTCCTTATGGAACCTGTAACCTTTTCCTTTATGCGTTTTGCCAGGAGCAATTAGTTAGAGATAAACTTTGTTCTCTTGCATTCTTCATTCTTTTACTGAATTTGAATTCAATGTGGATTGGATAGTGTCCTAGGGAAAGAAGTGAACTGATGAAGGACTGTATTGCATTTTGAGAAGATGCCAAGACTTTGCAGTGTTCTGTCTTCCTGTACAGAGCTGATTTTGGCATTTATATCTCATTTTAAACATTGATCTGACATTCTGAAGTGGGCTAGGTGGTGTAGTTCCTATGACAGCCTCTATAGATGAGAAAAACTGAGCTAGTGAGTATTTTTAACTTACACAAAGATTTACTTCTAGCTTAGAAGAAATCCCTGTTCCTTTCATGGGATCATGTTGTTTGCTTGCAAAATTTGTACATGTAAAAATTTGTTTTATGAAGAGAGTAAAGGAGTCTCAATAGGAATGTAGTCAAAAAAGAAGAGTTTCATTGTCTCAGGATAGACAACCAGAAGTTGATGCTGGATTAGTAAGATTAGATGTGTGTTGTCTGTGCCCAGTACAAAGAATAGAGTGGGTAAGCACAGGGATTCTGGTTATATTTCTATTAAAAATGCAGGACAGGTTTTCAGTGGGTTAAATGACATTCTAAAAGCATAAGCTGTTTGTGTCTAGCTGTAATTTAGGACTATGCTGAATCCCTATTGAACTACTTGTTTTAGCACAGTTTAGGTGAAAGATTTGTTTACCTTTTTCCCCCAAATTTTCACCTGCCATCATGAAAAGGAGCAGGGAAAAGCATGATGAAATGTACATTTGAAGTAACTTTATATTGGTGTTGCTTTATAGATTAATAAAGCAGTTTAACGAGATCCTTCCCTCATATCTGTGAATACAGAAAAGAAGCACATATGCTTGTGAAGTGTAAACAGGTTTTCACTTCATGAAATCAGTGTTACATTTTCAATTTGTATTTAAGGTAAATGGAGTGCAGGAAATTCAAAGATTGTCTTTTAACTTTCAGGAGCTGCTGTGACAGATCCTTCACAATCAGTTATACCTCCAGGTGGAAGGTGAATTTAAAATCATGGAGGCTTTTTGTATTAGCTATGTATTTTCATAGAATTTCTTTCTCTTAACATACTTTTTCTGTCCAGCTGACCTTTGGATAACTTCTGCTTGCCTGGGGTTATAAAAAGCATGAATCTGACTTTTCTCTTTCTTTTGACCATTATTTGTGGGGAAACTGTTACAAATTAAACAGATGGCAAAGTTTCCTTTTGGTTTAATTAGCCCAGTGAGTGTTCTTAATTCACAGTCTGTCAGTGAGGGGTAAGTTTGTCATGTTTTATGCTATGGCAGCAATGGGGAACAGATGTAATGTTGCTTCCTTCCTCTTCCTCAGTAAAAGAAAAGCCGTAAAATAATTTTTTTTTGTTAGTAAATGAGGAGATTATGTCTGAAATAAGTAAAAAATTGGTTAATGTGAAAACAGGGATCAGTTTCCTCTGCTGCTAAGTTTGCTTCTCAGTAAATGGTTAATGTGCTTTGAATATTGTAGATGCCAGCAATGTCCTATCCCTGCATTTCTGGGACAATTCCCTCGAGATAAATCAGATAAGCCAAAATGCAGGATTTCTTACATTTGTGTTCCTAGTTGGGAAAAAAAATACTGGGAGATTGATTTTACTTGACAGCCTGTAAAGCTTGAGGAACTTCCCAGAAGGTTTTTATAACATCAGTGTGCTTGCTTTGTGTATTTTTTAGTTGTAGTCCTGTTAAAGTGAAGACGGAACCAAATGAGGACTCAGGTATGTTCAACAATTTGCCCTTATTTTCCAAAAAATGGTCAGTTTCTGTTCAGAAGGCTGAAGTTAAGCAAATATAGGAAGCTTTAAGAAAAGAGCAGCAAAGAGCCATTGTTTGTGAGAAGGAAAAACTTTTCTTTCCTTAAAATTGTCCACTTTTCAGTTGGAGTTTTATCAAGTATTGAGCCTTGGCCAAATGTCTACATTTCTAGAAGGGGGAGATCTGTAAAATTTTGTGGACTAAACCAATTTATCTTTGTAAATAGTTTAGTTTTAAGTGGAGAAGAAGAAAATCACAGGTTTTATTTTGTTGTAATTCAAGATTACTTTGTACGTAATGGGGAGATAAAAACTTGGTTTAGTTGTTAATATTACTGAAATGTTGAAAATCACAGAATTTCCTTTTTCTAGCTAAAAGGGAAATGAACAAATAAATAAGAGATAGCAAACCAGGTTAGTTATTCTTGAGAAAAGCCCAAGCATTCCTAAGTTTCCTGCAGGTAAGACATGATCCTGCAGGCACTGTCATCCACAGTGGAGCAATGCTTGAGTGTCTGCTTTGAGGTAAGGGTGTGAATAATCCCATTAAAGCCAATGAGACACAGGTGTGCTTTGAGATAAGCTGGTGACTTTTCCTTTTGTTGGGTCAGGCTACACTGCTCAGTGTTTTGTATAACAATTAAGTTTTTATATTTAGTCCATTTCTTTGTGCTTCACAACTTTAAGCTTGTGGTTTGGGAATCCTTCATGGTTAACGTGCTCAACATACACAAAGAGTTAACTTGAGCCTTTTGTCACTCTTTCCAGTGCTGCTTCGAGGCATCTTAAGTAATCCTCCTTTTATTGGAATGTTTTGAAAGTGTTTTAGGGAATGCTGTGAAGGCTTATGGAGGGGATGTTTCACTTAAAAGAAGCCCAAGAGCAGTTGAGCACTTTTGGTGTTGCTCTGTCAGCAGCACAGTTTGATGCAGGATGTATCCCAACTTGGCTATGCAGAGGGGTGAGCAGGAGTTAGGTCTACAAGTACTGTTAGCACAAGTGATAAAATGTATCTGAGAGAGAGCATTTGCAAGGATGAGGCCTTGGGTGATATGGTTTAGAGCGAGGTGTCCCTGCCCATGGCAGGGGGGTTGGAGCTTGATGATCTTGAGGTCCTTTCCAACCCTAACTATTCTATGATTCTATGATTCTATGCCTACTCTGGAGGAAAGCATTTAATCCTGAATCTCTTTGACAGTGACCAAATGAAACATAAACCAGTAGGTCACTTTGTCATTGTTGGTTTAGCTCAACAGTTGTTTGTTGTCTCAGCACCTGATCTTTATTTTTCTTTTATTTTTTTGAGGTGGATTTTGGTGGGTGTTTTGTTCGGTTTTTAAGAATCTGGTTATTATTAGTTTCCATATTTGACTCCTTTGTTGCTTCTACAGGAATTTCTCTGGAAATATCAACAGTAACAGTGAAGGAGGAACCAGATGATCCTGATTACTATCAATATAATATTCCAGGTAATGATACTAGCTTTCATATGTGTTTATTACATTAAATTGTTGGTTGCTTAAGTATTGCTCTTTGTGCCTCTCTTTTTATTTATTCTTGGTCTTTAAACATGCAGTTACTTTCTCAGGATACAACATTTCCATGCTGGCTATCATTTAAGTTATTCTGAAGAATACCAAAAGAGCTGAAGTATAAGAGCATATCCATATGTGTGTGCTTGCTCTGAAGGAGAAGTTTCAGGAGTCTGTTCAACTGCATGTGGTTTTTCAGTGACCTCTTTAAATAGGAAATAAACCATAACAACAATGCTGTGTAGAGCACTGATTGAATCTTGTATTTATTTTTGAAGTTTCAGTAGCTTTCATAATGTATTTATCAGTCTTCTTGAATGGAATGACCAGTATGTATTAAAATTATTGAAAGGTTTATTTAGGCAAAGCATAACAACATTCATGAGGCTCATGAGTTGGGGGTTCTATGTATGCTTTAAGGTGTCTCTTAGTTGCTATTCTTCATCTCTACATATCTGGTTAATATGGTAACCTCAAGTAGGAGTGGGAAAAGAAATTGTTATTTCTGGAGGTTGACATGAACAATAATTAAGAAGTCATGATTATAAATGGCAATATAAAATAACTAGAACCCTAAGTTTATTATTTCAGCTTATTTGCAGTTGTCATTAGGTTAATTAAGCAATGCAAAAGAACACAGGCAAGCTGCCATGCACCTCTGAAGGATAGCTGCATTTTCAGCAGTGAAGTGCAAAACTGCACATCCTTTCATTTTGTAATGTTCTGTATTACTGAGATAACGTTTTTGCACATGTTTAGGCACAAAGAGTCTTGAAACTATTTTCTGATGTGCTTTGATAACTAACTACAGGACTGTAGAATCAGTATTCTTGTACTGGCACATCTCAAGTAGTGTACGAGCACTGTTCAGGCAGATCTTCATACAGCACAGCAAAATGCCACCACTCAGGTTCAGAAGGTGAATGGCATTAAGATTATCTTTTCTTCTTGTCAAGGCTCAGAGGATGGGGGTGTTTACAGGCATGATATAAGGTAACAAAAATAGATATGTTTTTGGAGACAGCCTAAATATTGTTCCTTCCAAAGCCAGGTCTTGCCATCTTTTTGCTTTTCAGTCCCTTGTGGCTTTCTGTTTCATGCATAAAAACAGTGAATTTGACCAATAGCCCATAGTGTAATCCAATGCTATTTGAAAAGAGTCTCCCCTGAAATTTAGGAGGGGGGACAGATTTTTCTTGGCTTTGCAGAACTCTAAATCTTCTGATTGGTGAAGAGCAGTATGTATATCTTCGAGATAAATAACTCCTCCTTTTCTCCTCTCAGTGCAGTCTTCCAAACTTGCATTTAAAAAAGAGACAAAACTGAGTATGTTGGTAGAGGTGATGGGGTGCTGTGAGCTAAAAAGAGATGTTGTCAAGTCGAGCTACCTTCCCTGGGGTAAAGCAGCTTCCCCTTCATTTCTTCAAGTAGGTACCACTCAGATTCAAGCTAAAGGTTGTACAGCTACAAATTCAAGAGCATATAGGGGTTTGTGTGTGCACAGTGGTGCTGTGCAGAGAAGTGAGCCTTAGGAAACTACAGTTATCCTTGGGAATGACGCAAGTCTGCCCAAACATTGCCTTTGTAGAGATGTGCTACAAAATAAAGAAAATGGCTAGGGTCATAGTTCTTACTAAAAATACCCTCCAGTAAAAGCTTATCGATTTATGAGAAGAAACAACTTAACTGTTAGAGAGCAGCAATCTGCTTGGGGCTTCCAGGAGAAAATGATCTACTGATGAAATTTCACAGTTATTGTTCTTTGAGCTTTTGCTTCCTCTCACAAGTCTGAAATGCTGACCAAAGTACTCTGCCTGGGTGGCACACAGAATTCTGATATCAAAGGGGGAAAATTATACCTGTAGGTGGATGTTCTTTTAAGCTCTTATTTTGTGGTAGGTTGCACCATTCAGATGTCACCATGAGTTAATACTAAATTACTAAATGTAGAAATGTTTTAGTAGTACACAATAAGACTTAGAAATAGGGGCTTTAGCCATCAAAAACTTCATGTGGGTGTTTTGACAGAGTATTAGGGCAGCTTTCCACTAGTGGGCACTACCACCAGTAGTGGCAGTGGGTGTTTTTTTCCAGTATCCTGGGTAATTGTGAAGGTCACTGCAGTGTTAAATGCTTTTTCTGACACCAAAGACAGCCTGTTCTGGAAGAAAGGCCCAGATTTTGACTGTTAACTACAGGAAAAGGACTGTTAAGGAAAAGGACTGAGCAGACATCTGCAGGACTAAATAATTCATACTGGAGCATTCCAGCTATCACAGTTAATACTCCTGCATATACCTTATCTGTAAGTACCAGTTACGGCTTTTATGAAAAGAAACATTAGTTAAAATGCTGTTTCTTAGATTAGGTTTTGAAATGTGGTTTAGACCTTGAACTGTGGTATGTACCTTTAGATTAAGCATATTACTATGCTGTAGGAATAGATCTGTTTCCATGGCTGTTGCAGGGGAATAGCATTCATGTGTTCTGTCAGAGCTCCAGAGCAGCTGGGTGTGTGCAAGGCCTGATCCTAAAGCCAGTACAGGGCATGTGTTCTGTACTGGTTAATGCAAGTACATCCTCATGCCTATAAATCCTCCTAGCTTCTCTACCAGCTTCCTTGCAGTCAGGGGGCTGTTCAGCTGATGCATAAATGTATTGTAAAGTTACAGACATGAATTTTGGCTTCTTATTAAAAGGCTGCCCATAAGACCCAGGCTATCCTGAAGAGTTTTAATGGAAAAAAATGAGGTCAAAATACCAGTGCCAGAATGAGAACAGCTCTGAATCAATTAACAGAATAGAATTAAGAGCTATATTTATTTCTTTTCCCCACCCGCTCCCAATTTACAGAGTAACAGGAATACATTAAGAAAATGTCTTGGGGGTATGTGCCACCTTCAGTCCTCTTCATCAGTACAGAGTAAAGGAAGGCTTTTTGGAGACAGCCCAAGTAGAATGGAGTAATATGCTGACTAAGGACCAAACATGTCGTGAAAGAGGCATGTTATCCTGTGAGTTTTGTGGATGCAAGTCTTCAGTTGTCACTGATGCCTTGAAGTTAAATCCAAAAGAAGAGAAAGCGAAAGGAAAAGGCTGTAGGCAGTGTGTCCTGTGAATTGGCTGGTTCAGCTTATAAACCAGTCTAATCAACTGACTGATTTAGCTTACAAACTTAGAAATGAGTAAAAACTGCCCAACATCTCTTTAAGACACCATGTGATTGAACAGTGCAATTGGTTTTGGAATTTCTGGAAATGTTAGTGAGGCAGTTAAAATCTAGGACATTCATCCAAAACCAAATGAGATTGAAAATATCTTCTGGGAAAAAAAGCCCAAAATGAGAATGTAAACTGTGTTTTTATTCTCTCTCTGGAACGTTGAAAGTCGTGAATGTCTTTTAGTATGTCTCTTAACAACAAAATACTTCTCCTTTGGAGATCTCCCAGAATACTAGAAGTAATATCCATTTTTATGGGTGTAAAACTGTAAAGCTGGCAGTACTCTCACCACCATAGTGTAAAACTCAGCATGTAGATACTATCTAACCAAGAAATTCCAGGGAATATATCAAGATGATAAGAAAGCACAATGTTGTGCTTCCTAAAGGTGTTCTGATATTATTCTGGTAATTACATATTGTTCATAATGTTACCATCTGCATAGCCAAAAACAAAGACATAAGAAGTGAGCATTGCTAATCCATGAGATGATAAACCCAGATTCCTTCTGCCAAGTGGCACAGGTATGACTATGTGGACATAATCCATTAGAAACTGAGGCTGTGAGATTTGAACTCAGTGTAAGCAAATGGTTTGTGGTGGGTAAGCAGAAGCAATAGCTGACACTGTCGAGGGACTGGCATCTCTCTTTAAGGGAATTGTTAGAATGAAGAATGACATGTTTGTAAGAGGCATTTCAGAAGTTTACAATTTCTGGCAATAACTGTCTTTTACAAAGGTTTCACTGCACTGCAGAATCCCAGCCCAACTGCATGATTTAGGTGCAGTGGTCTGTCAGGTATTTATCTGTTCATGGTACAGAATTTCTCAGTGTCTGTGTTGTGTGGTGAGGTTGTCTGTTAGCAGGAGTATACTGAGTGCTCTTACTGATACAAGATCTTGCTTAGCTCTGCCTAGGGATCTTAAGTTCAAACTCTTAAGATGTAACCATACTGCAAGATTTTACTTCTAGTGTGTGCTGTGGTTTTAGTAAACTGCTACCTTTGTGTCCATCCTGCCTACTGCAGTGGAATTAAGTTCTTTTTTCTTAAGTTTTTTTTTCTTCCTTTTTTTTTTTTTTTTGTGTTACTTCCTCATCCTTTTATTCCTAGATGGAACTTCTTTTGATCTGGTTACCACTGTAATTGGTTTTTGCTTTTCTTAATTACGTGATGTATGTGTATCTGCCTGTTACGTGCATGGATGCAGTGAAGTGGAAATGTATCTGCTTTTGTCAGTATCTCCCAGATACTGACAAACTCTGGAATACCAGAGTCCTTTTAAATTGAATTTTCTAGTCTTTACTAAATGAAGGTAGCAGAATATATTCATTTACACTACTTAGTATCTGAAACAATTTTTTCATACTGTTTTTTCCTCTGTCAAAGCTTCATAACATGAAAAAAAAGCTTCAAGTTTTATCAAATAATTCATGTGGATCATTTTGAAAAAAATCAGATGGATTTACTATGTGTACTATAGTTTTATTGTCATTAAAGATGAAGGGGTTGAATTATCTGTGCTTAATCTCAAGTGCTGCAAGCCTAGTAACTTAATTGGAGAAATTACTTCACCTAGTAATCCTTAACTAGAGAAATCTTTTAAGTTTGAATGTATCAGAGACTCCTATTTTTCCTTTATTTGTATCACAGCATGTTTGAGGCATGACGATGCAATATAGAGAATACCTCAGAATATGTAGGTAAACCAACCCTAACAGGATTTCTGAATTAAGGAACAAATACAAAAATATGTGCTTATAATGGGATGTATGTTTCTGTGTGTCAGTGTGTTATGAATTACAGTAATTGCATGTTCAGAAGAGTTCCTAGGAAATGACATACCCAGCTGGCTGCATGCATTGAACTTGCTTATTTAAATAAAAGCAAACTGACTCCACAGGGATATTTTCCAGCACACACAGGTATGCTCTATTCTATTCCCACATGCCCATAACTATTGCAGGTCACACTATTTGGATAAGAATTTCTTCTCGTGTGGTCTAGAGCAGCACTATTGCCTCTGCCTTCTGACCTGCTCCTTTTCCTCCTCCTGCTTTTCCCGGTCTTTGGACTATGTTTTGTACCAGTACCACTCTTCCTGGACCAACGTTTTGAACCAAATAAGGGAGCTTCTCTGAATTGAACAGGCAAATAGGACAAAAATCCAGGCACCCCCCAGCAAGGAGAAAGGGGCAGAAGCAGATTAAAGCAGCACTTACTGAAAGACATGAATGGAAAACAAAGATCTGTGTATAGGTTGCTCACTTGAAATCCTGTTAATTCAAAATCCCTTTGAAAATCTGAGTAATCAAATAGGCAGGACTATCTCAAACCAGTATTCTGTAACCATCTAATAGTCATGATTTTCTTTAATCTCTAAATATTAATTATTCTTGAATGACTTGTAATATTGTATATGTTTTCAGTTGGTTGAAATGCTTATGAAGGCTGATTGTGACAGTATTTTCTTGGTTACTGTGCATACGAGATAGATTTTAAAATATTTCACTTGCCTTATTAGTAAACAATAGCTTTCCTGTTGTGAAGCTGTTCATATTCATTGCTGATACACTTACAAATCTACCTATGAAGAGCTGTGATTTCAGGGGAGCTATATGATCTTCTGCAGATTACTTTTGCAAATGAGCACAGTAGTGATTTGATTTACAGCAAACAACTTGTCCAAATCCTTCAGTTCCACCTAGTTGTAATACGACACTCCCGTGTGCCACACACAGGTTAGTTTTATATACCTGTGCTATTTTTGTGGTCTAGAATGATCCCCTGCTCAGTGTGAAGCCATTTGTGCTGTAAGCAATTCACTCTTTCAGTGTAACTTCGGGAGCACTGCAGCATTAAGCAGAAGGGTTTTAGGGGTGTTAATTTAATCTTCTAAGTGTTGTTTGTGCGCTGCTTTCTGTGACAGCCTCTTTAAAGCAGTTGGTATATAGCCTTCAAAAGAGCTGCTGTGATGAAAAGCAAACAACCATGAAGTGTCTGAAATGATTTTAATCTCTCTGAATTTGTCTATTTAATGTAGGTAGAAATTTTAGAGTAAAAAAGAACTCCCTAGGAGTTAAAATTTTAACAAACAGGATAAAGATTTAGCTGATTAAAAATCATTGGAAAAGGGCAGAACCATCAACATTTCATGTTCTAAACAAGTTTATTAACACCAAAATATTTTAAAACCTGCTGTGCTGCATGAGTCTCTGACTGTTCAGTAGTCAAGCAATGCACACCCCTGCAGTTACCTCCTCAAGATGCTTATTTTGTTGAACTGTGTAAATAAGGATTTATAGACTTTTAATATTTCACACAGTCTTTCCAAAGTTTAACATTACAGAAAGTATAAAACAAGTATGTGACATATTCAGTGTTACTTGGCAAATTCCTCTATGGACTGGAAGAGTGTGTTTGATGTGAGATGTTCTCTTTTTCCCAAGCAGGCCCTTCCGAAACATCAGAGGTGGATGAAAAAAATGTTCTTGCAAAAAGTTATACAGGTAGATCTTTTAATTGTATTTTTCTCACATCTGTGTTGGAAATCGAATGTGTGAGTTTCAGGGATCTCCTTTTCAGCTTTTCAGGGATCTCCTTCCTTTATTTAAAGTAAGAGTTAGGGTATTGGAACTTCAACAGAAAGGAGAATTATGTTGCCTTAATTTTCAGGTGTCCCAGTAGAGACACATACAGAAAGGGAATCTCATGTCTTTCCTTTCTAAACTGGAAAAGAAACATCAGGTTGATCACTTTAAAATACTAGTAATTTGTGTGGAATATGTTTATCAGGAAATTCAGCCTGTTATGTAAATGGTTATAAGGTTTAATAAACCTCTGCTTATGTATTATGACTACAACTTGATCATTTCATTCAGCTGTGTGTGAAGTGAACAGACACATGCAGAAGAAAGTACATGGAAAGTCTGTGTTTAGTGGAAGGAGTTCCTTACTGGATCTGAACAGTAGCTTAAATAAATTTGCCCCCAAATTGTACATTTATTTTAGCTTCTTACAGTTTGCATTAAAAATACCTGTTTGCCCATTTGCAAACACTAGAAAATACTGATTTGTATTTCAGCCCATGAATGTCTTTATGAAGTCAGAGTGTTCCTGCTCTAAAAAAGTTTTAAGATTCAGAAATCGAGCCTTCTGTATTTTATTTATGTGGACATTATCGTTCTGGATTTTTTGCTTATGAAAATCCTTACTTTCAGTAGTCAATGTTAAAAGTTCCTTTTCTATTTTTATTATGGCATGTTTTGTATTTGTCTAAAGGAAGCCACGAGGGTACCGACTGCAGAGAAGGAGGAGATGTGGAAATACCAGTAGAAGGTTAGAGATACAAAATGTTTTTTAACGAGAATAAATTAACATCATTGGATGTTTTTTTACAGAAATGTTTGAAAAGATGGCCCCTTAAAGTTGTACATCTCAGAGTGTTCTCTTTCCCCATTTCCGCAAGGTTGGCTTTGGGGTTTTTTTTGTTTTGTTTTGCTTTTAATCTCCCAAGTAATGCCACTAGGCAGTTTACTATAAATAAGTTGTGATGGGATTTCTCATTCTTTTAAATCATGAATTGTGAGGTGCTTGTCACCCAGCGTTTAGTGTTTTGACATGACGTTGAAAGGACATCATTCTGCAGTTAGTTTCCTTCTAAGCACCTGACTTTCAAACCTGAGTCATGAATATTTAAGGCCAAGTTATGCTAGCAGCTATACTCATTCTTGCAAATCCAATTAGTTTTGCTTTGAAGGTAAATATCACCATAGTTAAGGGTACCATTACATGAGATTTAAAAGCATGTCTCTTGATAAAGAAGAATAGAGTTCATTGCTCTTGCTGAACTCTACTTATTTGAGAAAAAATAAGCTAGGTGCTTTGTTTTTCTAAGTATAAGGCCATGAGCTTTATGGCTGACTGTGAAGAGAGCCTTAGGAAAGGGAAGTGTATTACAAAATGACCGAGACTCAGACTTTGCTTTGATTTTGACTACATAGAGCTACAGATTGAGTGCCAGCTACAGATTGAGTGCCAGAATAGTTTTTTTACGCACCCCTTTCTCAAACCCTTTTTTCTTTGCAATTTCTTTAAGAGATGTGCTGAAAGTTGCACTGGTTTTGCTGAATAGAATAAACCCGTTGTTCATGAAGGTTAGTATTTATGAAAAAGTCTAAAAACCAAACACCTCACTTTAGTGTTAAACCAGTTGGGTTAGTATGACTTCAGAAGAAATGTCCCATCTGGGAGCTTTCTTCCAGAACTTTGTTGCCATCTGCTTTGATATATTGACACATTTCTCTTAATTATGACTGTTTCTAAGGGATTTGTTACTGGACTAGATGGGCGATTTCACAGAAATGAAATTGTCATTTGCCAGTCTTTGTGGCTGTCCCTGAATTTCCAGAAGTTGTATTTCTTCAGGATTTTTTATGCTTTTCTGATGCTCTCAAAAATTGTTCCAAGTAATCAGTTGATCTGATAGTCATAAAAATGACAATACTTTCCATTCATGTCTACTAAAAGACCATTGCCTCCTAATTCTTTCCTTTTGTTGTGCTTCTCATTTGCTAATTGTCCACCCTGCACTCACTCAGAGTTAGAGCAAAACTTCATGCTGTTTTCCATGAACTAGGTGATATATTAGACATAGTGCAAATATGCTCCAGTTAAGGCATCTCAGTAGATACTGCTGAATCTCTACTATACACAACATCATGTGAAGAGCCTTTGAAACAGAGATTCCTTCAGACTGACTCCCAAAGTGGTATCATACTTCCAGCTTACAGAGATATGAAAGAATAAATTCGTTAAAATGCACTAGCACAGCATCACTGTGCTGGGATAATTTAAACAGATACCTTCATACACTGCTACTTAGTTGTGAAATAGTTTCCAATACAATTAGCTTCATTTTTTCCAAACTTTGCCACTGTTAAGTGCAAATTGCTCTTTCTTCTATAGAGCATTGATAGGGCTAATCCTATTTATGTTAGTGCAGCCAGCCCCAATGAACACATTGTGATTATGAATTTCCCTCTCATTTTTCACTGTTGGCCTTGCAGCCTGCTATGAAAATCATTACAGTGCAACAACTACTCATTAGTATAAATGGTAAATAAATATATCATCTGTAAGGGCGTACAGCCTTTGCTTATATTTTCAGTAGTCCTTTATAGCAAAGAGAAAAATATCTGTAATTGTATTAATCCTGTTAAGCCAAGAATAAGGAATTTCCTGCTGTCATTAACACCAACTCTGCAGTGCTGCACATGCAGTTTAGCAAGTATAATCTCCATGTCCTTACCCTTGTCTAGAATTGCTTTAATTCTATTGTGGTAGAAGATCTTTGCTCCTGTTTTTGTTGCACACTGTGAATGCCAGGGGCTTCTTTGACAAGTGCTAGTTTAAATACAAAATCACGGAGGGTTTGGTTAAAAATCTTTTCTGTGTCCATCACTCAGTGGTCCTGTTTTTCCCCCCCCTTTAGATTCCTTCCAGCACGTCCCTTCAGAAACAAGTGAGAATCCTGAGGTCGAGGTCACCATTGAAGGTTAGTTCTCCAGTTCATTGATTTCAGTCCACGGAGCATTTTTATGTCCAGAAAATGTTCTAAAATGCCTGCGTTACTTGGCACATATAAACAGGATTACGTGCCAGTGTTGACTGCACTTTGGATCATGCAATGCTTGGTAAACATATTCAGTCCAGAAGTTTTATAAAACCACAATATACTGAAGCATGCTGGACTTACCAGGCTGGTTTTGAAATGCGTGACAGAGATTTGCATCTTGCATGTACACTTCAAGCACTGGTAATGAAGAATTCTCATTATTTAACATCCATTAATTTCGATTTTAAAAAGATGTTACAACATCCATTCTGAAGAACATGTTGCTTTATAAGCACACTGTAGTTGTGCAAAATTTCTAGTTAACACTAGCTTCTGGAAAGAACTGTATCAAACTAGAAATGGTGTTACAAGTGGTATAAGTGAAGCTTCAATTTATTTGTCTAATATCGATAAATATAAGATAAAAACCTTTATCCTTACTACCTCATCCTTACTTTCTCATCCAAATGGCACTAAAGCCCCTAACCAGCATCCATGTTGTTTTCATGCTAGGATGTTGTCTTCCCTGGGATATACAGGAACAGCTTTGCTTTTTGCTATTCCATGCTTTGTGCTGGCTCTCTTAATCTCAAGTTGTTCCTACGCAGGCCAATAGCTTTCTAAAATTAATCAGATGAGTAATTCATTGCAGAGTTGATGCCCTGATAAAGTACAGTTCAATACTTGCATTACAACTCCGAAATTCAAAGCAGTTCCAACCTTGCACATGAGTTCTCTGGACATCGAAGCAAAAATATTTTTATGTTTCTTTAAGATGATGATGACTACTTGCCCCCTAACAAGAGACCAAAGAACACTGAGTCACCTAATGAAGCTGCCAATATTGGGAAAAGAAAAGTGAAAGAGTTCAATTTTGGTAAGATAAGAATTAAAGATTATTTTGTCTTTTATTTTATAAGAAGTTATTAAACAAATTCATACTGCAGAAGTGAGACACATCAGTGTCAATACTCGTTTAAGACCCCAAGGCTCTTTGCAGATGTATTGCAGCAGTATCATCATCATCCTAGGCTATCTCTGTTGTTTCTCATTATTCAAAGTAACCATCTAAATAGGCACTGCAAGTAATTTAATAAAATAAAAATAAGTCTTTATTTGTGTTTGCTGATTTTTTTGGATAAAAAGATAAGACTGAATTCACTAATGCACTGAATCAAGACATACCAGAGGTCAGGAACCTGTCTAGCTGCTCTTTAATACATGCTGTGAACAAGATGTGCTGAGGGAGCCAGATTTGGGAAGGTAACCAAATGGCTGGTATGGTGAGTAGCCTGCCTTGATGCCTGTGGACACACAGAGTTGGAGTTTTTCTGGTAGTGTTCTTTCATGATAGCTTTTGTAAAGTTCTCACTGCAGAAATGCATCCACACACTGTAGTTATTCTGGTTAAAGACAATTCCCATGGGATTTGGTGCAGTGTATACCTCTCCTTTATTTCTTGGTTTGGTTTGATTTCTGGGCAGATAGCCCATGAATCTATGTACTTCTGCAAGGTTCTGCACAATCAAGGGTATGTTCTTTGGCACAGTGTTTGAGATGTTTATTAGGAATGCTGGGATTTGACTTCAATTGGAAAAGTCCCCATGGAACCTTTTCTGACATCTGTTTTGTGTGAAACATGTTATTTCCCACTAATTCCACTGAAAATGAATAAAACATTGTTCAGAGCTCTATTCTGTAAAGATCATTACTAGTAATAGGCAATTCCACATGTAGCATTAGCCAGTTTTGGTTGGGTCAGGAAAACATAATGGCAACATTAGTAGAGAAGATTGAGCAGTTAATACTGCAGAAGCTTTTGCAAGTCTCTTTTCCCTTAGTAGAAAACAGCAGGCCAGCTTGAAGGGAATAAAGAGAGGAGAGCAAAGGTAATTATTAAGACGATAAAAATTTGAGTTGAGCTTGCAGTGTTAAGGCTCCAGTTAAAGAACATCTCACAACTTATCTGCTCCCTGTTTCTTCTGAATTCATGTGGTAGATAATCTCTCTGGGCTTTTTTTCCAGGAAAACTTTGCTCTTAGCCACCTGCTGTGCTGTCAGATCACAGCTGTTTGTAGCTCCCAGGGTTTTCAGACATCCTGGGCTTCCTGAATTGTATTGAAGTTGTTGCCCTTCATCACTGTTGGAGTTCACCTGCAGAAAGTGGTATTTCATAGTGGTGTTGCAAGTTCTGGTTAAGACAAAATGAATTTGAGAAGCTGTGGAGAAACAAACTTCATTTACTGTTACGTAAAAAAGAGCATCTGTTGGTGCTTGCAGTGTTGCTGTTTGGACATTTCGTAAGACCCCATACCTTTGTCTAATAAAGTCTAGTATTGGATATTGGACAGGAGAAAGAAGGTGTTTAATTCTATCATGAATAGCTGTAAAATGACAAAGGTGTATGCACCCAGAAGACTAAAAAAGGAAGGTAAAGATGCTTGAGATATAAATCTATCTCATCTGATAAGGACTTGCAGTATTTACATAACTTTGATGAGATTCAGATGTTCAATAGCTTTGAGTTGGAGACACTTCCTGTATGTCTTGATTGAGTCAGAGATCAGGTACCCCACATGGCCTGAGAAACTCTGAAAAATGTGCAGTGCTCTTTGTTTTGTGGAAACAGGAGAACAAAGTGGAAAACTAAATTATTGTAACGCAGGGGAAGAATGAAAAGTGTCTGGTGAGATCCTTGATAGAAATTCATCATCTTTGGAAAGAATTTCCAAAATATTTCTGACCCAAATATTTAAGGTTAAAAATATCTTTGCTGGAAGGAACTGACTTTGTCAGTAAAAATCTCTTCCAGCAGTGGTTTTTGCTTTCTTAGACATGCTATTGAAAGCTCAGAAGCTTTGTTGTGTCTTGCATTTGTAGAATCTTAGAATCATAGAATGGTTTGTGTTGGAAAGGGCTTTAAGATTATCTAGTTCCAACTCCCCTGCCATGTGCAGGGACACATCACCCTAGACCGTGTTGCCCAAAGGTCTGTCCAACCTGGCCTGGAACACTGCCAGGGATGGAGCATTTGCCACTTCTTTGGGCAACATGTGCCAGTGCCTCACCACCCCCACAGTAAAAAGAACTCCTTTCTTGTATCTAACCTGACTTTCCCCTGTTTAAGTTTGAACCTGTTGCCCCTACACCCCTATCACTTCAGTCCGTGATGGAAAGTTCCTCTCCAGCATCCTTGTTAGCCCCTTCAGATACCTGAAGCTGCTCTGAGGTCTCCCCCAACTTTCTCAGCCTGTCTTTGTACAGGAAGTGCTCCAGCTCTCGATCATCCTCACTGCTTCCTCTGCACTTGCTTGAGCAGCTCCATGTCCTTCTTACATTGAGGACACCAGAACTGCACACAGTACTCCAAGTGGGGTCTCATAAGAGCAAAATAGAAGGGCAGGATCACCTCATTCGACCTGCTGGTCATACTCCTTTTGATGCAGCCCAGCATATGGGTGGTTTCTGGGCTGTGAGCGCACACTGAAGTAGTGTTCAATTTCTCATTGACCAACACCCCCAAGTCCTTTTCCATAGGGCTGCTCTGAATCACTTCTCCACCCAACCTGTTGTGTGATACCATTTTAGTGGAAAAAAAGTCCCCTTAGCTGTTATCTCACTGTGACAGTGATGGAAAGTGTGCATAGTTTTTCCCCATTTTGACACACCATTGAACACAGGTTTTGCCAGCTGCAGCATGCTTAGAATTGCTGTATGTTTTCCATTTTATTTCCCCACAGAGTACTGTGTGGCATATTGATGGTAACAGGAATGTGCTTAGTACCTGAGCATCTTTTAATGTGTGCTGTACAAGTTGTCCCTGCTGTAGTGAATGTTATCAGGAGTATGTCCACAGGGAATACAGAACAGGGTAAATTGAAGAGACTGTGGACAGCCTAGGGAAGTTTTCAGGATTGTTATTTAATTGGGATGATGTTCCCATGTATGAGAGGGTGTGTATATATAGGAATCAAAGGAAGTCCCCAGTTATCTTGGTGCTTGTGGGAAAACTGAACTGCTTTGCAGAGAGTGATTATCAAAATAAAGTATCACCTTAGTTTTGGGTAGGTCTTCAGCTTTGCTATGTGAACACAAAAGAATGTCCTTACAGTAGTTGGTCTGAATCCAAGGAGTTAATAATGCTGACAGTTTGATGAAAATTATGCCAGTTACCTGATAACCCCTCTGAATATTGAAATATCTCTGTAGTCTACCTTGACAATTTACTCATGAAATACAAAAGTAGCTAAAAAAAAAACCCTAAACTAGTGCACTGATCAAGATGTGATTCAGTTTATGGGTTTTTTTTTAATAGCATTTTTCTGTGTATTCACCATTCCAAATAAACATGCCTGTGTTGTGATGTATTTGATTTTTAATCCCTGTAGTGCTGCCATTAAAGGGAGAGCAGCATGGAAGCAGTAGCTTGAAAAGAGCCACATGGAATATTTGGCCACTGATTGTGGGGTTTGGTAATTGAGAAAAATGAAGCCTTGACAACTTAATGGCTCATGTAGGAACACTTGTGAGCATGCTAACAAGCAGAGGGACACCAGGCTGTGTGGGAGCAGCTTCTCCTAAAACTGCAGCAACAGCTATTCAGAACAATATTATTTATATACTTTTACATGGTTGCTTTGTAATATGGTATGACATGCTTTTGGCAGTGCTCCCTCTGACGGAAACCAGGCTGACATTTCATAGAATCACAGAATCAACCAGGTTGGAAAAGACCTTTAAGATCATTGAGTCCAACTGTTCCCACAGCACTGCCAAGGCTACCACTAACCCCTGGCACTGAGGGCCTCCTCTACACGGTTTGTGAACACTTCCAGGGATGGTGACTCCACCACTGCCCTAGGCAGCCTGTTCCAGTGCCTGACTGAAAGGGAGAGGAGATGGTTTGCTGAGTTTGCCCTGGAGTTTGATGAACTGAAGGTGTCTCAACTCTGAGAGAGTTTACTTTGGGTTACAGTCTAGCATTTCACAAGTGCCCTTCAAAACCCTTGACCCACGGCTGTCCATGTGTCTTCACCAGCTCTGTTGAGGAAAGCAGGGTTTCCCCTTTAGGCCACTAAATTCTGACTCATACTTTCCAGACTCTTACTGGAAAGCTTATGCTAATCCATGTTCAAATCCATTGGTCAACAGAAAATGATGTCAGAGGTTGTACTGCAATCAGAACTTCATCTGGCTATGTATCTGCAGTCAAAGGGGGAAATATTACAAGGTTGAAATGACACAGGATTAGAGAATATTGAGCTCAAATTGTTTTTATCATCTAAGAAGCTGTGTGCTACAAAATATCAGCAAAAAGGGTGACAGAAGCAATTATGTAGATTTATCCACAAGGATGCTATTTCAAAATATAAACAGGTTAATTGGTGTAGGTGATATGCCAAGTGATTAGAATGAAGAGTTTATGTGTGAATGCAAGGCAGTATGCCAAAACACCCTTTCCCCTCTAACCAACGTCTTATTCTTGCCCACATCTGAAGCATGCTGTCTTGTTTCATGATATCCATGAAATTACATTAGAAAAACATAAGCTTAAACATGAAAACCAAAGTTGTCCATGTTGGCCTGAGAATGAATATTTAAACCCCTTTCGATACAGACTTGAAATTCAGTTTTCTGTGTTGTCTGATACAAGAATTTTTTGACAACTGGAAGTGTAACAGCTTGAATTGTGTCATTTTTTTAACCTCTGTAGCTACTTAGATTCAGGTGTTTGGTGTAAGAAATAAGGTGTAAGTACACTTGCTTATTAACTCATTCTTCAAAGGCCAGCCAGCATCTGGTACCATCTACAAAAGAGTTGTGCACTTTCCTAAAAGCATTGAGATAGTACAAAAGGCTCTGAAAACATGTGCTCTCTGTTGCAGGCAGAAAATTAGATGTTAAAATTCTGCTGTTTAATCCAGCTTTCCGTGGAACACACGATTGGATTTAGATAGCTTCTGTTTTGCAGCCTGTATCTGCTTTCAGAAATAGGATTTATGGGGATGTTTTGCAACATCAGGACTTAGAGAAATACTGGATTAAGGTAGAAGATTGCACGATGCCTCCTGACCCAGATAGTTATACATATTTGTGCTAAAACAACTCTGTGCACTGTCTCTAAGCTTTATCAAGCTTCAGTAATTGGGCTTTTCAGCACCCAGATTTAGGTAATTATCGACACCAGCTGCAAGATGACTTTACCCCAGTGGTAAGGAGAGCTGCTGACTGAGCTCTCAAAGAGAAACCATTTTTGGAAGTTATTTTAGCCTGGTTTGTGGGGTTTTTTTAGACTTGATTTACCATCTGCACAGGTTTAGGAATTAGAGATTTTATTCTATACTTTTTCTTTCTGAATGTATCAACGTAATTTAAGGTACAGCCTATAGTATACTCGTAGAATCACAGAATGGTTTGGGTTGGAAGCTCACCCAGTTCCAAATTTCCACTAGAGCAGGTTGTTCCAAGCCGGGTGCAACCTGGCCTTGAACACTGCCAGAGACGGGGCAGCCACAGCTTCTCTGGGCAAACTGGTCCAGAGCCTCAGCACCCTCACAGGCACCTGTGTGCAAGTGAGTAGTAAAAACACTGCATATTTCAGTTGCAGTAACATTGGTTTTACAGGAGATTCTTGGTTTGGTTTGTGGCCTGACGTGTCCTCCTCTTTTCCTCGCAGAGAAATGGAATGCACGAATTACAGAGTTGAGAAAGCAAGTTGAAGAGCTGTTTGAGAAAAAATACGGTATGTGTTACACTCCCTTCCAAGCAATTGCCTCTGTCCTTTGCCACCTAAATCACATGTGTCTTGTTGGTTCAGGAACACACCAGTACTGACAGCACCAAAGGGTTAAATAGTATCAGAAGACTTAAATCTGAGGAAAGAACCTTTTTCAATGAGCAGAGCAATTTCAAAATTGGCACCTAAGTGAGAAACTTTATCTTTCAGTTGTGCTGGGTTTCCTGGAGCTCCAGCATGCTCATGTCTTTGGCACCCATATTTGAAGAGAGCTGCCTTTTTTTGGCTGTCTTTATACCAAGTTCTTAAGTGAAATGATCTTTTAAAACGGCTCTGGGGAGAGATTACTACTGATTGACTTTTTCTCTCTGGTTGTGATTGATCTGCAGTGAAGCAACAATCATATATTAATGGTTCTTGGAGAGAAAAACAAGCGCACATCTTAGACCTTGGAATTTGTCTCTAGGTCCTGCACCAGATGTATTTGTGTCCACATATCACAGCCTAAAAGTGTATCATCAAAACTTTCAAAACAGATAGTGGTGCTCCTCTTCTGTGAAAAGTGGAATTGCTTTCATAATGGAACTTGTGATTTGGAGTTACATGTTTTGGGTGTGACAAGCATCTGATATGTAAACAGCCCACTGAAAGCAACTCACACCAAGTAAAAACAGTTTAGAATCTGATTCACAGTATTTTAATTGCTCTAGAAAGGAGCATCACGTGGGTAAATTGCTTTAATTTGGGTTTTGGTGTTTGCATATAACCAGCCTAAAAATCTCCTGTGGAGTCTGTTGAATATAGAGATATTCTTGACTCTCCATAGCAGGCCATATGGTCTTAAATTATCCCCCTTTTGCCTGTGGATGACAACATTTCATTAATTCACAAACCAGTTCCATATCAGATTCTTTCTGTCTGTATGGGCATGCAATTTCCCATTTACTGAAATGAGTTATGGATATCCAGCATTCCTAGAATGCTGCTCAGATTTGGTTGCTTCTGTAGCTCCAAAGCATTCTAGCAGTGTCAGTCACTGTCATCCATTGCAACTGACATGTATGAAAATAGATTTAGTTTTGTGTTTAGATATACTACACTAAATGGGATTACTTTTTAGTGTGTCTGATAAATACAGTCTTAATTTATAAAAATAAAAGCTATATTCAAGAGGATTTCTATTGTAAAATATGTAAGGTTACAAATCTGAGTCCTCATTGCAATGCTGATCATGTTTTTAGGTTGTCTGAAGAGTATTTGCTAAAACATTTGTTGATTTAAGAGAAATATTCTGGTTTTTCACTTGTAAAAATGTAGTCACTTATTTAAACAGACAGGATTTTTGTTACTCTGAAGCTGTTTTTACTTGATGTTGTGTAGTGATCTAGATGTCCTTGATCTTTTTTCCTGTGGCTGTGGTTCACAAACTATCATTTCCATCTGAGGCTTGTCTGCTGAACTTGTTATGCTTCTCACCACTTGACACAGCAGCCTCCAGGGCTGAAAGTAGCTTTTTTCCCCCGTTTCTTGGAAGAGGAATATGACTGCAATAAAAATCTAATTTAATGAAGAACTGGTGTGATACACTGATACACAACAGCTCTTTCAGTGATTGTTCTGCAGCTCCTTTGACACTAGTTTGAACAGAGTTTCTTCAGTCAGTTTGCAAAGAGTCATCTTCAGGTCCATGTCCATCTCTGTGTGTATGGATTCTCTCTACAGTTTTGGCCATCTTATATTTGGCAGCTGAAACTCAGTCTAGGTGAAACACAGTTCTTAGAGTTTTCACAGACCTCTTAGAGTATTATCAGAATATAAGACTTAGATGCATGCAGTATTTTCAAAGCTTCCCTGTTTTGTGATAAACATGGCTAGGAACTGTTCTGCTTCCAAGTGGTTGAAAGAGTATGTTACTCAAATGCCTTTAAAACCCAAAGCATCTTACTGCTTTTAAGAATTCGTGAGTTAATACAAGCATTTTGTGTATAACACTGTCAGAAACACTGGCTGCTTTCACGTTTCCTTAAATTGCTTGAAAAGGTGCCCTGTGGGTAGTTTTGCTTTCAGAAATGGCACAACATCACTGTACTCTAAAATTGGCCTTAGCTTTGCTGTTCTTTCCTCAAATAGTTTCTTGCATCTAATTGCTGGAGCAAAACAACAGAATGTACCAAACTCTTTGCAGACCAGTCAGATGGTAATAGAGAGTTCTTGTTGTATGGCCTGCAGAATCAACATACCCCTGTGAGCACAAAGAAAACAGTCCTCTTGGTATTTGCAAGCCATGATGCCCCTGTTTGCCAACTTCATAGGTGTGTTGATACGAATGCAGTGCTTATAACCTGAAGAAATATACTGAAGTTATTTTCCAGCTGTGGGCGAGTCTTACCTGTTTTCATTTACTTCAGAGATTTCATTAGAAGGGCCATGCTTTAGAAGTGTACTGTTTATTTCATTAGTGATTCCTTGGCTTTGTAAAACATACCAAAGCTTTAGGAATTCACTCAAAAGAAGGCATGTGTGCCCCTCCTCCAAGGCATGAATGACTCTTGTAACCCAGTAGTAGTAAAGAATAGTAATAATCAGAGCTAATGAACTGAAACATGCTTGGTTTCTAATTAAGTCCAGATAACTTCATCTGTCAAAATGTGCTGTTTAAACAAAACCAAAATACTGTTAAACTTTGCTATAGCAGGTGCAGTCTCTGTTATTAAATATTTAAAGGGTAAAGGGAAAAGCCAATCTGCATATGTAAGCAGGTCTGCAGCTTGTTTACTGTGAATTAGAGTAATTTTGCTATAAAACAAAACCAGCCCCCTTTAGTGAATGCTTGCATGTTTGAATGTGTTGAGGGGGTTATTGCCTGTTGGTGGTTTTAATGTTTTTCAGAGTGATATCAAATAGATAATTTGAGCAGAGCCACAAGCCAGTCTAACGATTTTATTCTCCTTTTTTATTGAAGCACAAGCTATAAAAGCAAAAGGTCCAGTGTCAGTCCCATACCCACTCTTCCAGTCACATGTGGAAGACTTATATGTGGAAGGGCTGCCAGAAGGAATTCCCTTCAGGCGGCCATCCACCTATGGCATTCCCCGTCTTGAGAGGATACTTCTAGCAAAGGAGCGGATCCGGTTTGTGATTAAAAAGTAAGGAATTTTGTATTTGTGTCCCTGTATTACTCATTGTTTTCTTCTGAATCCACTCTGCTTCATTTTGTTTTCCAGAACTTCCAAACTTGAGTGGTGGCTGAGATCTAGACAGGTCTCTTCAATAGTACGGACTGCTTGTAATGGACAGATCTCTTTGTACTATTTTAATCAATGATACTTGTTGAAAGCCATTGACTTGGGGATGTTTTATGCTATCCAAGGATCCTGGCCTAAATTTCAGCTTGTGCCTTTTTTTTTTTCTTCCTGGAATGCTGTATCAAGGTGTCTATGGCTGTATCTGCATATAGCACCTCCCGGGGCTGGCTTGAGGACAAAATAGCTACTGGCTTGCGATTTACTTGGATCCATATCCTAATGTGTCTGGAGGTAGATCAGATAGTGTAAATGAAGGGAGGGGACCTTAGATGTATGTAGCAACTGCTTGAGGGCTCCACAGCCTGCCATAGCAAGCCTGGCAGGGTATTGTCTGCCTTGCTAGTGAGGCCATGAGATGCTCTGGGCATCTTTCTTCCGCTTTTCCTCCTTTCTTCCCTTGGTGTCTTTTCTAAAAGAACCCCGACATTACTTTCTGCAAATGCAGGTGGGATTGGAAGGGAGACTGGACCGAGCCTGAATTCAGGATATGCAGGGAGAGCTGCCAACACCTGTAGATGCTGAGTGCTGGATCTCTGAGCTGCAGAGCACTTTGAAACCCAATACTGTGGGAATGACTGTGGCAGACAGATCCGCATCTTTGGTCGTGGGTGGATGTTTACCTTTGACAGTTTTGTGCTTCACTTCAGACAGATGTGATGTTTCACACCACAGAAGCTTCATTTACAGCTTAAATAGAGCTTCTGTGACTAACAGCTGACGTTTTACTGTTGTTCAGTGCTGTAGCCAAGTGTTTTTCAAGTGAATAGCAATGTGCTCATTGCAGTGGTCAAGTTCATGTCTCTTCCTGCTGCCTTTAGCACAGATGCTAGCTTCTCAAACTTAGATGTGTATATTCATCTATATGTCATCCTAATGCCTACAGATAACCAGAAGAGATGAGAATAGATGTACCTTTGTCTTACTTGTCAAAAAACAGTTCAGCTCAGTGAGAAATGTCAGAATTTCTAGATTTTTGTTGTTTTCATATAGGTAAAACTCAATATATTTGGGAAACAGAAATGTCTGCTTTGAGATTTTCATTTTTTCAGGTTAAATTTTTGATTGGATCTTTGTTTCTAATGAAGTACATCTCAGGCTTAAGAGACAGTTTTAATGTCATCTGCATGTTAACATGAAATGTTATGACTCAGGTGTATATGGTAATGGGCATGAAATTTTTTTTGTCAGTAGGGTTTCAACCAGCTCTAGAACACTTCGGTGTTAACTGGAATTTAATGTTGGGGGTCTTGATATTCCCTGTTTTTAGTTTTCTGATCTTTAAGTGGTAAGCTGAGGCTGTTACTTCTGGTTTGTCAATGTGTATGTCACTGCTGAAGCATGTATCTTTCATCTTTTAGGCATGAGCTTTTGAATTCAACACAAGAAGATGCGTCATTGAACAGACCTGTTGCAGGAGATACGTGTGAGTTGTGCAAGTGCAGTATAATTGCCTGTTATTCATCTTCATAGTGGTGTCTATAGTGGTCACCATCTTAGTAGTTTCTACCATTTATTTTTACTAATAACACATTGCAAATAGTTCCTCTTGTTTTGCATCTCCTTTAGCTACCAGGTGAAAGCAATATTCCTCCGACTGTACAATCCAGTGTTCCTAACACTCTCATCAAATGATTTGATTCAGCCAGAAGAAAAAACAATGAGCTAAGTGTTACTCTGAGATACGGAGAAAAAGCAAAGTTGATAGAGTTTACTGGCTAGAAAACTGTATGATGGAATAATTGCTTTATAATTTACTTACCAAAATTAGATTTAACTGAAATGCTGTAATGAACATAGTGGCTACAGTAACATTTATTATTGTAGAATCTGACTTGCTGGAATCATGGGACTTTTTATTTTTCCATTTTCACACAGCAGTGCAAAGAAAATGCATTTAACCAGTTTTGCAGCAGCTGCGTGCTCTACAGTGGCAGCCATGAACTCGTTTCCCTTCAAGCTGGGAGAAAAAAGTTCAGTATAGAAAGAAAACACACAAGTTTTGAAATAATGGTGTCTTTGCATGGGCAATAGTTTGGAAATTACTTTTCTGGACTTTTTTTTTTTTTTTGCTTCAGTTGTATTCTGCTGTCTCTTGGGCTTCAGGGTGGTTTTTTAATTGTCCAATTAAACTAAGTGTTGAAAGCTTCTGTGCCTAAACCAATGGTAGCAGACAAATTGCTCCCAACCCCAAAATGCTAAGTGGCAACCTCAGCCTGGTTGAACTGTGAATGTTTACTAGTACCAGAGAAATTATTGGTTCAGATAAGGATGCAAGCGTATAAATGGTAGTATCTGCACTACTGCAGCACCATTATATTCTGTTATATACTGATAGTCTTCTGTTGTAAAAAGCGTATCAAAGACTGTACTGAAAGTGAACATTACAGATATAAATTATGTCACGAGGGTGTCACTTTAACATGCGTGTAGGAATGAAACTTTTCCTGCAGTCTAAGTTAACCTAGTGTCTTGAGTCTTAATAACCTGCTGTTCCTTCGAGCACCAAATTTGACTACAAAAATAGTAGATAGGCTGATGACTGAGTCGTAAACCTAACTGTACTCTTATGTAGGTTTTAAAATTGGCCTTTTTCTCTGTTGTTTTTGTTGTTTTTAATATGGTTATACTGAAGACAAAGCAAGTACACTGCATATCCCATAAAACCCCTGTAGCTAAGAGACCTTATGGTAACTCATTTTGATGGCACAGTGTTATGAAGAGTCACTCTGTTGCTTGTCTTCACTATCTTGTAATGATAGTATATTCATGTGTGCCCCCTGCATTATTTCTGAGAGAACATCTGTGAAAGCTATTGATCCTATCATAGAGATAAGAAGACAGGAGCTGTCTGAGCCTCCTTTCCCTCAGTTTTCTTTTCTCCCTGTTTGGATTCCCTCTTTCCCAGTAGCTCTGCTGCTCCTTGTGTCTGCTACCATCTCAGGAGAGAGCTATGGAGCACCAGCCCCTGTTCTCAGCTCCTTGTGGCTCCAGTGTCCTGCTCTGTCCATAGCCCCTGCTAGCTTGTGTTCTGAGGAGAGGAATGGGATGAGTACAGCAGCTATATTTTGGTTGGCAGAAGGAAGATGATTTGCATTTGCATTCCTGTGGGAAGTAGGCTTGTCGGGAAGATTTTATAAAATGGCCTCAGCTCTGATGCCCTGAGAAGACTGATACTAGCTCCAAGAAAAGCCAGTCAAGCAATAATGATTTGGTTTAGGAGTGGCTGGAGAAGCATCAGCTAGGTTTTCCTAGTTCCAGGTTGAATCCATACTTCTTCCGCATAGTATTTTCTGTGTTACCGGGAAATGCAGGATGGTTGTGCATGCTATAAGCTGAACGACTGAAAATACAACCAAAATGATAGGGAATGTTATTTTTGTTCTGTGTCACTCTCAAATACAGTGAAGGAGGAGTGGCTTTCCAGAATGATCAAACTGAGAAGGACGGTAGATAAACTCTTCTGTGAAAAGTTTGGTGAGTTCAGTATTACTATTTTTTTTCTGGCTTCATGTTTCTTGAAGGTTTCTTTCCTTATTTCCTTTGACCATCTACATGAAAGAGACCTTTGATCAGTGTTTGCCAATATTTACAATCCTGGCACTTGAGTGAAGAACAATGTATTTCTTTACTGCTTGTGTAACCAGGTAAATTCATAGTTTAAAAAAGTATGTCTTGTATGTACAGCTCTTCTCATTGCTCTCAATTCCATCCTGTTTGGTTCATTTCTCCTTTGATGGGGAATAAAACAACCATTTACTTATGTATATCCATTAGTATTAGAACTCTTCTGGGTGAATTTTCATGTTCTCTCCAATATAAAAAAAATAGTCAACTTCAGAAGAGCTAGAATAAAATGTTGTGTCATGCTCTATAATAGATTAAAACCCTCAGATAAAACCATTGCTTTATGCCCCAGTGAGGAACCCACTAATCTTCAGTTAGCACTGGGCCTGCCCAATAGCAACATGATACAATAGGGTAGATTTCTATGGGTTTGATATGCTGAGATTTGGACTCTTTGCGGTTTAGATATCCTGCATTATCCCTGGTTCTGAGATAATGATTACAACAGCCTGAAGAATCAGTAGCTTAGCTAGCTTTTAGTAAAGGTTGATGGCCAGACTGTCCGGTTATTGATGTATTTTGTTCTCAACAGCCGAGGCCTTGGGGAGCACTCAGCCTAAAACTGTTCCATACACGAAATTTGAGGCCCATCCTAATGACCTCTATGTCCAAGGGCTGCCAGATAACATCCCCTTTAGGAGTCCTTCCTGGTATGGAATCCCTCGCCTAGAAAAAATCATTCAAGTGAGCAACAGAATAAAGTTTGTGATCAAGAGGTACGTTTTTGTTTTAATGCATGAACATGTTTGTGGTTGGGGTTGTGTTGTTTTGGTTGTAACAAAGAGCCCCAGCAAAGCTTCCTTCATGTCATCAAGCAGTTGACTTCGTTAAGTCATGAAGCATTAGGTTTCTAGTTAGCAAATAGGCAGATTAAATATTCTGCATTGTAAAGTGGCTATATGCAATCTGAGCAAGTCTTCCAAAATATCTTTGTAGAGTGTTCACAAGTGTGAAATGCATAATAGAAAAAAACAAACTTTCCCATTCTTTTCAGGGTAGGTAATGGTATTTAATTAATGTCAAGAATGGGCAGATTATTTGTTTTCTGGTTGCAGGCCAGAGCTTCTAAGCGTCACTTCAACTGAAGTTACTCAACCCAAGTCAAACACCCCAGGTAAGACAGGCACTGTCTCCAGGTGGGAATGGAAGGGTTTGGTGGGGAAACACATTTGGATCAATGTAACGGTTTTCAAGAAGTGTGGTGCGTGTGCTGACATGCTCTTTATGAGGTCTGAAAAGAATAAATTGATCATTATGAGCATGGATGGCTTTTTGCCACAAATGTAGAGCAGAAGGAGAAGGCAGCATTGGGGTTGGTTTAGGGTTTTTTTTGTGGGGTTGGTTGGTTGGTTTTGTTGACAAAATCCTGATTGTCGCCAGATTTGACAGTGAATCAATAACAACATGTGTCAATGGCAGCAGTAAAAAAACCCAGCTAATTGAATCCTCTTTCTGAAAGAGCTGATGTGCAAGGATCATGATTTTTAAAACTCAGACTGTTTGCATGTTCAGAATGATGTTTCTTTTTTTACCAGTGATTTCACTGTATTTTTCACTAACTTCTCAGTGAGCCTGGTGTTACCAGTGCCCACAGAGCTTACCAGGGTCCAGGCAAACACAGCAAACGTTTTCTTGGGATAGAGCCCAGTGAAAACCATTTTTCCCAGGCAGTGGCTGAGGATGTTATTGAACATGCAAACTTCATGTTGCTAAAGAATATTAGACCTTTTTTAAATCAAGATATTATTCTGTTACAAAGTCATAATCCTGTGCCCTCCATAGATAGTGTGTGAACAACCTTTTAATTTCTTAACGTACATCAGTCAGTCTGATTCCTTTGTTGGTTAAGACCACAACGTGTGAACAGTATAAACATATGTGCAGGTGTTAAGCAGCTGTGAAATCTATCACATGAGTAGGCCAGATTGCAAAAAATATTAATGCATTTTGCCTTGAAAAATCCTAGAAGCTAGAAATAAACTAGGTCAGGTAATTTGTCAGTCCTAAATAGGATTTGGAAACAAAAAAAAATCCTGTATAGCTTTCTTCATGCGTGCTTTCCGCAACTCTGCTTTTACCTCAGGAGCAGATAATTGTTATTTGTGGGTTATGATGAAAAAAGTAATGAACCCTGATGCTGTTTGTCAGAAAAGAAGTGCTTTTTATTGCTGCTAGTGTTCTTTGCTTTCTTCTCTGGCTAGTGCTCCTGTACTTGGCTTTTATTTACAATAGAAAACAGGAGTAAAGATGATTGATTTTTTTTTTTAATGCTAATCAAAATGTTTAGCAAAGCACTCCTTAAATCCTCATCTTCTATTCTAAAGAGTGTTATTATACACAATGATGAATTAATTCCAGTCTGTAAAAGCCACTAGAATAATTTCTTCCTGTGTTTGAAGGTTCTGAAGATCAAGTTCTCCTGCTTGGGCCAATGACTGAAATACGTAACTACATTTAAACAGATTTTTCCATTATGTAGAAGGAATTACGTGTATCGTTTAAGCTGTCATTAATAATCATTCTTCATTGTGTGGCCTTGTCGACTGTGATTGTGTTGATAGTTTTACAAGTCGTGTTAAAAGAAACATGTTTGAATGTGTGTGTTTATCTAGAACTTGGTAATATTCTGACATGTATCTGGTTTTCAGTGAAAGAAGATTGGAACGTCAGGATCGCAAAGCTAAGAGCGCAAGTAGAAGAAATATTTAATACAAAGTTTGGTAAGTTAAATGTTAAATGAACTGTTTCATAATTCTGCTGCATTTTAAAACTCTTCTGTGAAAAGACTTAAATTTTACTGTACTTATTTAAACGTCAGAAGTGTACCAAGACAGATACGGAAATCTTGACTCCTCTTGCCTATCTTTTACTGACTCTTCCCTATAACTGATATAAATAACTTTATAACAACATCCTAGGCCTAAGAAAGTTCTCAGAAGAAAATATTAGGCACTGCAAGCTTAGGCGTTACCTGTAACAAGATGAACTAAGTCCCCATTTGCAGATATTCTACAGAAAATAATAGAAAATCTGATTAAATATTTCTCTTGGGTTTGTTTTTTATTATCTGAGTAACAGAGCTTCTGTAAGCCAAGCTTCTTAAAATCACTTGAGATAAAATACCACCCATTTGAATGTGTGAACTCTCATCAAATCTCTACTTACAGGCCAAGCTCTGGGGCTTTCAGAGGCAGTGAAAGTTCCCTATCCTGTATTTGAATCAAACCCTGAGTACTTGTACGTTGAAGGCTTGCCAGAAGGAATCCCCTTCCGGAGTCCCACATGGTTTGGAATTCCACGCCTTCAAAGAATTGTCCGTGGGAGTGGCAAAATCAAATTTGTTGTTAAAAAGTATGTTTGTGATTCAGTTATTTTTACTCCTGATTTTGAAGTTATTTGATTTGCTCTAGGCTTTAAATGTTACCTAAATTCTGTTTCTATGAAACAGAACATTTTGCACATAATATATCTCATGAAAGGGTATACTGTCTTTAATAAATTTATATAGATGTATAAATTGCAGAATTCATGCTGGAAGTATCTGGTGAGTAAATGGTCTTGTTCCTAGATGCTTTTTTTTTATCTCCCTCCCTCCCTCCCTCCCTCCTCAAATAAATCCAGAACATTCCAGGGTATAAAATGTAGCTTAAAAGTTATCAAACCTTTTGTGGTTATAGTAGATGGAGAGTCACCCATGCTTCTAGCAGAATTTCATTTTAGAGAGCTGATGTTACGTAAATTGGAGCTCAACTGAATTCCAAGAAATTTGTAGCATTTGGTTATATGATTTTTTTGTGCATGTGTAATTGATCAGATCATGTCCTGTTCAACTTTTAGGCCTGAGCTTGTCACCTCCTATTTGCCTCCAGGACTGGCTAGTAAAATAAACATTAAAGGTAAATAATTAAGTATTATTTGCTGCCATCAATTCACAAGTACTTATTTTCCTCTTCCTTAGCAGACTGAGAGGTCTTAGAAAAATAGGGGTGTTGCAAACAAAAGGCATTCTTTAAGATGACCTAACATAGTAGCCTCTAAACCTGCTGTTATTACAGAAAGTTATGCAAAACAAATATAATCTACTTCTTTTAGTTAAGATTATTCCAGTACAGAAAATGGAATTTACCCAATTTCAACAACTTTCATCTTGCTATTAATGGCCTAAACTGTAAGTAATTTACAGCTGTGAATGAAGGAAATAACAATGAAGTTCTGTAAGAAAATAATAAAAAAGAAACTCTTTCAAGTTGTCATAAAAGATTCAGAAGTTAACAGTTTTGTTAATAAAAAGTTCCAAAGCCGTCCTTCACAACAAAGTCTTCTGAGTTAGTCAGTGAAAGTTGAGCTGTGATACCTGCCTTTTTTGAGTGTACTAAGCTTCATTTTTAAGGCTGTGAGTGCCTCTGTGTTGTTCAGGATTTACAATGCAGACTGTACTTAGTGCAGGTACAAGTGATTCTTCAGTCTGCTGGAGCTTGCAGAATCCACCTGCTTTTTCATTACTGGTGCAGGATTTACATTATAGAGGGCTTGTACATAACACCTTATATTTATTATGTTGATTTCCAGCAATGAGTCCAAATAGTTCAGAAAGATCACAAAGTCCTGCAGGTAACTCAACTGTTCCAGAGATTGAAGTTACTGTTGATGAAGGTATGGAAGAAGTGTCATTAAATATTCTTCTAATGTTCTTATAAAGTTTTCTGTTCTTCTCTGTTTTCAAAGCCCATATTTAACACCTCATATGAACCTCATGTGGCAAACACAGTTTTATTTTTCATTTTTGAATAATTGGGTAGATGATAGTTACGTAAAATGTTGGAATTTGACAGCTTGCTTGGGCCTTTCATTCCAAGTAGAGATGTGGGACTGACATAGTCCTAAGCAGAGAAATGACAGATGTGATCAGTAGTGTCAAATGCTTAAATACAACCCTATAGGAACTTTTTGAGGGGTTCTTTGTCCTACTCTTGATTCAGAAGTTTTCTGTAGTAATTAACTTTGATGTGTTGTTCTTTTCGTATGATGGCTTGCTTGTGCTCTCTACATGAGTATCTGTAACACCTTTTTACAGGTCCTAATAAACCACAAACAACAGATGCTGGAACCAATTCTCAGACCAATGGGTCCAATATGACTTACAAGCCACGAAAAAAAGAGTTTTCTTTTGGTAAATATTGTGGGAATTAGCACACATGCATTCTATTAATGTTGGTATTGGAATTTCTGGTGATTGCATGTAAGAGAGATTTTGAATTCATGTTTTGTTGTACAGTTAGCAAATGAATGAAGTTCTTGTTTTCATGTAAGTTCAGGTCTTTGTCATGTAGAATAATCTACATCAGAGAAATCCTGGATGCTCTATATAGAATGCTGTACAAATGCAGGGCTAGTCCATTAGCTCTTATTAATGTAGGTTCAGAATCAGTCCGTTTCTGCTTCTGCTCTGTTATTTCAGTGCTGCAGATCCTTGAAGGACTTTTCTGGTGCACAGCACTACCAGAGCACAGAAACCCAGCTGAGATCTGATGTTGTGCATGAACTTAGTAAGCTGATTTTGCACAATCACCATTATAGGCTTCTCCAGTTCTGGAAAATCAGTATAGGAAAAGCCAGACAGGACTAGAAGTCATATAGTTGTGTTTATATAGAAGTTTGTTGTATTTATTGTATTTGTGGGCATGCTTTTTTTAGCCCTGTGATCTAAAACACGTATCAAAGGAATTCTTTATTCCTGCTGAGTAGGAGTTTAAAATTAATGTAAGACACTGATTTGATGTGACTCCGCCTTTTGGCATGGGCAGTATTTGTATTCAGAGTTATGTACAGTTTTCTTAGACTTGCTTGTTATTGTTAGAAATAGGCTTTTAAAAACCAAGAAGTCTGCAACTATTTAAATTTTCAGCTGAGTTTCTCATTTTGTAGACCACCTACAGACCACTTTTTGCAGCCACAAGTAAACTGGTTTAGGACATGCTGCTGATTTCTGTCAGAAAGAAAATGTCCAGCTAGATGGACACTTAATCTTACCCCCTGAGGTTGAAACTATGCTAGAGTTTGTGGTTCTCTAGAGAGAGGCATGTTTCTGGGCTGTGCCACTGAGCATGTAAAGAACTTTTTGCCCCTATTTTGGGTGCTGGTTCAGATGAATAAATTTTATGCTGCCTGATACTGTAAATTTGGATCACCTTTGGATTAATTTCATTTTTTTATCATCTTTGCTTTATCTAATAGCAGTATCTTTCAAAGCTTCAGGAAAATGAGAATTGATACAGATACAGGTTTAGACTGCAACAGAATGTTTCAGTGCTGTTTGCAGAATGAAAGCCACTTTGCACATTTTTCTGTCATAGTAAATAGGTTATCAAGCATAAAAATGTATTAAACGTTTGTTAAAATGCTCATCAAGGACTGATGCGTTGTGTGTGTGTTGATTTAATTCTTCTAATTTCTTCCTGGCAGAGGCGTGGAATGCCAAAATTACGGACTTAAAGCAGAAAGTTGAAAATCTTTTTAATGAAAAATGTGGTAAGTTTCTTGATTCCTTTTTACTGAGATGTCTTTCTTATGAACAGGCAGTTAGACATCAGAGAGATGTCAACATGTTTATTCCAAAGGTCCTGCAGTCCTTGCATACTGTAGGCAATTTTTTCCTTAAGTTCATTCTCATGTAGTTTGCTTGCAATTCTGCATCACATTTTCACTATTTACTTTATTTGGGTTTGGAAATTGAGAAATTGTAGTAGTTGGATTACTGCTTCTTTAATGATCCAGAGACATTGTGAATCCACATCCTGGAATATCTTTTTAAGCTTGCTTCATTCTGCTTATGAGTCGGGACTTTGTATGACTTCAGCCTCAGAATGACTCGAAACGTTATGGATGGTATCTGGAGAGACATGCTCCAATGTATCCTAGTGCTGCTTCTAGTGCATGCTGTTTGAAAGCTAATCACTTTTGAAAGCTTTGACTTCTCGTTATTCTTCTGAGTTGGGTTTTTAGCACAAGAGCACTAATGTCAAATGGCCTTTATGCTACTCTCTAGAAGACATAGGGACAGAATGCATTGTCCTTAAAGTGGAGTACAGATGGCATAGTCTTGTACACAGACCAAGCCAGTGGCTGAGTGCAAGTAATTCATTTTCAACTGCAAATTTGGTTCAGATTTACTGCAACAGAATGAGTTATGTTTAAGACTATTAATTTTATTCCTGCCGACTCATAGCTGTCACCAAAAAAGGCAACATGTGATGGTTTCACATAATCTGTCATGTATGTGCCAACTATTACCTACTGTTTCTACCTGAGCTTTTCCTTTTTATATACACATCAGTTATCTCACTGGTCACTTATTGCTCTGTTGTGTTTCAGGTGAAGCTTTGGGGCTGACAGAACCAGTGAAGGTGCCATTTGCCTTGTTTGAATCCTCTCCAGAGGCTTTCTGTGTGGAAGGACTACCCGAGGGGGTGCCATTCCGCCGACCTTCTACTTTTGGAATTCCAAGACTAGAGAAGATCCTGAGAAACAAATCTAAGATAAAATTCATTATTAAAAAGTAAGACTCCCATATGTCTCCAGTAATCCGTTCTATGAGAGTTGAAATGTAGACCAAAAAATGAAATTGGGTTGTTGAGTTGCTAAATTACTCCATAAAATACACACTGGGATAGTCTCAGTAAAGGAGGAAATGGTCAGAAAGCTCTTGTAGAGGTGGAGCAAGATACAGTAAGTTCTTTGTTCTGAAAGTCACTCACAACCTGTTTTGGGAAGGAAGAGCAAGGCTAGATTCCTTGCTCTTCCATTTCAGTTATTACGTCACTGGTTTAGTTCCTGATGTGTGGAGCAGTTAGGGATTACTCATAAAACTTGCTGGCAGTTCTTATGAGCTGAGAGGTGGAGATTCATATATTGGGGGTAAGAATTTACTTTTCTTGTCTAGAATAGGTTTAGATGTGCCAGTGGCAAGAGAAGTTGTGGAGCCTCTCAGCCATTGTATTCTTGGCTGTTTGGCTGAGAGGATATCCCTTAGTTCCTGTCTTTAATAAATGGCTATTAAAAAGTTGCATTTTCTTTAATGCTGATAAATGTAATTGTATTCTTCTACATGAAACGTTCAATCTGTTTGCAGGCCTGAGATGCTTGAGGCAGCTGTTAAGGAAATTTCTGCTAGAAGCCCCCAAAGTGAGTTCTGCAACTGCTTAATGTTCTAGATAACTGTCTTTTTCAAGGATTAGCTACGAATCAGGAGAGCTGCGTGGTGTTAACTAATTCCTGAAAGATTCATTCTGCGTTGTGGGTTGGTTTATTTTGTTTGTTTTGTTTTTAAGATGGGCAAAGCACCAGTTACAGTCTAAATGCAGCTTTAGCAAGGGAGTATTACATTTTTTTTAAGTTACTCACAATAATCATGCTTCTAATATATTCTTTACTCCCTTTTTTGAAAATGTAACAAGTAATGTGTGATCCACAGAAGTAATTCAGGTCTAGAGAGAAATTATTTGCTTCTACTATGTAGGTCATCTACATGACAAGTGCTCCACAGATAGGCATGCAGATAGCCAGTAGGAAATCGTGTCAGGCAGGTCATGGGTTAAAAGTTTTCAGTCATGTTTTTATCTGCTCTTATGGGTTGTCAAAACTCTGCTGAGTTACTTGAGCTATGCTAGCATGTGCCATTGGACAGTGGGGCTCACAAACAACTGTAAGGGCTTTCTCTTCTGAATGCATGCAATCAACACATGGGTCAGTAGGTGTTACTGAATTAACTGCAAGTGCTGTGATTTTTCTGTTAGTAAGAATACCAAAATATATGCTCCACATACTTTTCCTTAACAGTCTTTTTAGAAAACCAGATAGCTAAAGATGAACATTATCTTTAATCCAGCTCTTCCTCTTTCCAGGCTGGAAAGACAGAGTAGTGTTTGTACCTTCAATAGTATGTCTCATGGGAAGCTGCTCCCATTTTGAAAATGGAACTGGGTCCACTTTGAAAACTTCGGAAACATCTGTCATTTTGCAATATTTTTTTACATCTGACATTCAAGATTTTGGGCTCTCTACAAATGGTTTTAATATTAACTCCTTTACTTTTAGGTAAAAATAATTCATCTAATACACCCAATACAGCAAGCACCCCAACAAACACAGTAGTGAGCACAGCTGCAGGTGTTGAAGACCTTAACATCATTCAAGTAACTATACCAGGTGTGTATACTGACTGATCTCCCATCATACTTCGTGCGTGTATTCTTCATAACGCTTGTTTAGTCTGGAGTTTTCCTACAGTCAAGCTGATTCACTGAAATACAAATACAGTAAACAATGAGACAATTTAGCATTCTGTTTTTACTGAGACAACTCTAGAATATTCTTGGTCCAGCCCCTAGTTAAGAAGTATCCACATTTTTCACCCCTTTTTTTTTTTTAAATGGAATAAATTAAATATGGACTTGCAGTTTTCTTGGCAACTTCAAGAGACCTACTCAGACTGAATTGAGCAACCATCCAGACTCAACTGCTTTGTCTTAACACTGATTGCTGTTTCCTCAGGCATATATCACGTTCATTAGAGATGATAAATGTTGCATGTTGTGACCATCTACTGAACAGTCACTTCCCTACCATTACATGTATTCTAAGAAAATAAAATGTAATTTGTAGGTATAGATTAAGTTTACAAAATCATCTCTAGACAGCAAATCTACATTCATCCGTGGCAGTGTTTAAGGCCAGGTTGGATGGGGCTTGGAGCAACCTGGTGTAATGGAAGGTGTCCCTGCCTGTGGCAGTGGGGTTTGGAACTGGATGAATTTTAAGGTCCCTTCCAACCCAAACCAGTCTGGGATTCTGTGATTTCTTATCAGCCACCTATTTTTGTGTATTTCTACAATTTTGTGTTACTGCTAAAGCTAGAGAAGAAGTCAGTGTCTGTTTTGAAGCATTTGGGTAAATCTGATTTGGGTAAGCACGCAACAGTACACAAGCTTCAGGGGAAAAATAAAATCTGCTTAATTCTGATGCTATTCTAACAATTTCTTCCAGATGATGAAAATGAGCGACTGTCAAAAGTGGAAAGGGCCAGACAATTGAGAGAGCAAGTTGGGGATCTTTTTAGCCGGAAATTTGGTAATTGCTTCTTACTCCCCATTTTTACGTAGGTGTAAATGCAATGAATGTTTCTCGTGTTGAAGTTACTGAATCATCACAGTGGATGAAATAGCTGATGATTAAAATTAACAAATTTGAGAACTGTATATGAATGTTTTCCTTTGACTTCAAAAAGAACCTTTTATAAGTGACGTAGGTTGCTTGGTGGTTTAAACAAGCAATCTTAAGAGTATGGATTTCATTCTGTTCCCCCCCTCCTTTTTGTGCTTGTTTCTGTGTAAACATGGATGAAATACTATTTTGCTGGCAATCCATGAGTCATCTTAGTGCTTCATCATCCTGACCTCTTAATACTTGGGACTGGAGTAATTTTAAATATGCAACATAATCTTTTTGCTGTGTATAGTTTTCGTATTTGCGTTGTAGAGGAATAATGACCTGGATTTCTTTATCTGAAATTCCTTCACTAATACTGTTAAATTGCTTTTTGTGGCAGGAAATGCTTTGTTTTCCTTCATGTAGCTATTGCTTTGCATATCCTGTTCTATACCTTCTTTTAGTAAAAGAAGAATCTGTGTTCTTTCTAAGGTGAGCTTTCAGAGTTGGGTTGTAGCTAACACTCTCATGGTAATGTTCATGACTGTAATTCAGGTGATTCACTGTCATGTGACTTTTCTGTGTCTGATCTGATAGAAGGCTTGGGTTTGCATTCAGGTTCTTAATTGTCTGAGGATTTTTCCTTCAATGTAACAATAAATACGTAGACTTGAAAATAAACATGATTTTCTCATGTAGGTGAAGCCATTGGTATGAATTTTCCTGTGAAAGTCCCATACAGAAAAATCACCACCAACCCTGGCTGTGTGGTGGTGAATGGGCTGCCTCCTGGCGTGGCATTTAGAGCTCCCAGTTACCTGGAAATCAGCTCCATGAGGAAGATTTTGAAATCCGCAGAGTTTATCAAATTTACTGTCGTTCGGTATGTAGTTGCCATCGATGAGATTGTTCACATGTTGCAAGAACCGCCCAATTCGATTAAGTAAATCTATTCAGTCTAGCGTGAATAAATGGAGGTTTGAAAGAATAGAAGTTGTATCAGGTCAACTGAAGCCCAGGTATTCATTGCATGAGTGAAGCTGGTAACTCTTTGAAGGACACTTCCGATTTAGTATGACAAAGGGCATGTTATGAATACTGCCTATTGTCTTTGGAGTTGAAATCTATTCATATTATATGTATTATAGGAGTCCTACAGTGCTGTGGGCCTTGCTCTCCCATTTATCAGATCAAGTTTTGAGACAAGTCCAGAGCTTGTTGGCTCTTAACAGTAAATAGTATGTTTGTAGTAGTATTACCATTATTATTTTTTTTAATATTTCAGATAAGAATCCTGAGTTAAAATAAGCGCTTTGATAAATGTTTTTTCCCCACCGAATGGGTTTATCTACAATATTTAAAAATACAGTATTACCCGATTATATGATAAATTAATTTTGTCTGTGTATATTTCCATAGACATGTATAGGCACGTATATATATGAAGTATATTTGTATGCATGAAGCAGAACAGATGAAACTTCAGAATCATGCTAAGAAGGAGTTCAGGAATTGAAATGAAACATCAGCTTATGTAACTTCTCAAATCACAGACTGCTTCACAGGAGCCTAAAAGTTTCAGTTTTTGTTTAAAGAGATTGACATTTCTTCAGTGTGTTTTCCTAAGGGGTCTGAATTCTTAACCCTTGATCATGAAGCATTCCAACTGAAAGGGCTCTTGCTTGATACCTTCTGTTTAATTGAGTTACATGCTGGTGCACAAAGCAGAGTGTGCAAGATCTGTGGAGGTAGTTCCCTCTGGTTTGTTTGACTTCCTGTTCATTTTTAGCATGATCTCTGTTACATAAGGCAAGGGTGCTTTGGCAGGGAGACTCCATGCAGTGTATTTTAGAATCAGTAATATTTTTTTCATTATTTTTCCTTTTTTTACAGACCATTTCCAGGACTTGTGATTAACAACCGTAAGTATTTGAGATGCTGATGGCAAATGTATTTTTATAATTTACCCAGTTTGTTTTCTGCATCTTGGCTTAGTGGTTAAGTTCCGTGTATAGCTCTTGTCTGTGTCTGTCTCATTAAGCTTTCCTGACTAAACCTGCATGTGCAATTAACTTGAGAGCACTGTGCTAAATTTACAGAACAGCATAATATTCCGTATGCAGATGAAAATGCAAGACACTGATTTTGTATTTTTCAGCTGCATAGTCCCAGAGAGATTTAGGACCCTGACTGAGCAACAGACTTACAGGGGACTTGCCTACATTTTAGGGTCAGATCCATCACAATAGTAGTTAATAGGCAAGAACTTTCCAATAGCTGCACAATCATGTTCCAGTGAAAAACTCTGCATTGTGCTGAAACTGCAGCAGTTTAGAGGGGCAGAGTGTAATTACCTGAAGTATCATGGTAAATTTGGCCCTGTTAATAAAATTGTTGGGGGCTTCAAGTATAAAAAGGTTTTGGTATTCTCAGTTGCCTAAAATAATTGTGACCAGGCTTTTTAGATCTTGTTTAAGGAAAAAAAGCCAAGCTGCAAAACACTGTTATTAGTGTCCCTTGTGTCATGTTCTTTCTGAGCCAACGTCAGCTTTGAAATATAGAGGCTAAATAACCTACTGTCGTTAATTTGGCCTTACCCAGCCTGAGCCTTAGTGAACCAGCATTCAGTCATTTGCGTTCAGCTGCCAGTATATTCCAGTTAACATGCTGAGGTCTATGAACTGCAAGTATGACGTATTCTTAGGAGGGTACTGGAGCTAGTACCTCACACTGGCCTGCTCGCTGAAGAAGAACATGTGGGAACTTAAAAGAAGTTTTTGGTGCTTGCAGGCAAGATAGGGAATGGCTTTTGTGTAACAAAAACTATTGACCTGCAGCTCAATCACAAGTGTTAGCAACCTGTTCATGCGACAAGTTTCAGGATTTGCATATTCAAGAAGTAAGACTGTCCCTGTGCTACATGTGGCCCATTTCCATTGTGAAGTTAAACAGTGATTATGTCTAATCTTAGAGCTGATGGAAAAAGCTGAAGCAGAAGCACCACCAACAGCACCAACAACAGCACCAGCAGCAGCACCAGTACTACCAGGTGATGCAGAGTGTGATGCATGTCCTGGCAGGAGGGGTGGGTATAGAGTTCTGGATCTTATTGGAAGATGACATTAGTAGTCGTGTCCTGGCTATGCGCTGCTTGTGATGAGCCATTTCATTTTGACAGATGGTGTGCAACGGTGACTTTTATAGCTATTAAATATTAATAACTTAATAGAAAGAGCCATTGCTTCCTTTAGGCTGTATCATTGGCATGTTCCTTCTTTTGATTTTGCAGATGATGAGTGAGCTGAAAAGGATTAGTATGGGCAATTTATAAAGCCAATTCAGTATCCATTTATTGAGGTCTGCTTAACTCAAAGTGTATTTATGTGTCTGCACCAGATAGATGTTCAGCCAAGGGAGGTTTGCTCGTGTAACACATAAGAACCTTGAACTGGGTCGTGATGGAACTTCTGCCCACTGAGCAGCTCTGTGACCCCTGTTAGACTGTGTCTCGACTGCACACACATATCCTAGTGTGGATGGAGAACTCAGCTTTCTGCTATGAATAGCTAGAGTAAATGTGATTGAGCAACTTCCTGTTGACCCAGTATAGTTTCTAAATGTTCATAGACCTTTCAAAAATGTCTATTGCAAATTGGTGTAGTGCAGGAAAGGCTTTTGCAATTGACTGAATAAAGCATTACTCAAAGAAACTGGGAGCTGAAAGCAAGCATTCCATAAACATTTTAAGAGTAAGGGACACTTGTATGGTGAAAAGAATTATGAAGGAAACTGCTAGCTCCCTTCTTTACATTTGGAGGTGATGGAAGGGATGAAAACAGCTGCTAATGGTCAGTGACTTGCTGTAGTCTGTCCTTAACACACCCACAGTGATAAAAATGTTAGATGACTTTCCCGACACCTGCTCATCTAATAACCCATCAACACAGATAATGGAAAAATCATTAGGAAATTAAAACACAGTTTATCTCAGACAAAGGTGTTTAAGTCAGATCATAACAGAAAAAAACAAGGCACCTTCTTCAGGGAAAACCTAATTTCTAAGATATTTGATTCATGTTGTTTAAACTATATTTGTATTAATTTGACTGTATTTCTTTTTTTTTTTTTATTTAAGAGCCAGCTGACCCAAGCCAAATGGAAGTGTCTGTAAGAGGTAAATGTTTGTCTTCAGTTATTATTGACGATATGTCAAGTAATCTTGAACAAAGGTGTGTATTTTTCTTTAAAGGAGACAGGCCAATTAAAACAGAAAAAGGACTTTTATTGGTTCCTAGGACATTTTTTCATTTGATTTAATATCCTGCTGTATCCTGTGAAAACTACTGCAGCAGAAGTTATTATTCACATAATTTTATAGAGGAGTTTTAAGAATTGTTGTTCTCTTTTGGTGCGTCATGCCTATATATAAGCTTTGATGGATTGCTCATATCCTGAGCATTGCATCTAGTTATTCAGCACAGTAGTTTCCACAATTTGTGCAAGAGAATGATTGCTATTATCAGGAACTTTGAATGTCATGTTGGCCTGAATATACTGCACTGGGGAGGGGGACTGTTGTTTTTCTTCTGGAATTTAAGCTCTGAAAAAATCCAACAAGCACAACCAGAATTACTGTTACACACTCAGCTCCAGGTTCATTCTGAGTGTTATGAGTACATCTTTCCCAGAGTGTGGATCAATCTTACTGCAGCAATCAAGGCAAAAAGTTGGAGTCACGAAAGAACTGAGCTGCAGATTTTAACCTCACAGTTGAAACATCAGAAGTCTTTATAATGCCAAAACTGTGTGGAATCATTGAAATTGTTAGATGAAGGGAATACCCAGAATACCTTCATGTGGAGGAAATCTAGCTATGGACCATCAAAGTGACGGTTTTGGCAAAACAGATAAGCAGGTTTTGAGTTTCTCATCCAAAACTGGATTCAGACCCAGTAACTAGAGGAATGAGCTTGAGGAAAAAACATCCAGTTGCTAAAGAACTCAAAATCACTTCAGAACTAGGCTGGAAGGTATAAAATGATCATGTGGTGAAATGGCTTGGCTTTGTAGTGATGAATTACCCTAGCCCCAAACCTTCCAAACAACTTCAGTTGAAAACCAATTTCCTTCCAACATCATACTGTCTGTTTATAAAAAGAACAAAATCAGGCCCCAAGTTGTATAGGCACTGCTGTACCAGCACGAGATTTCTTTGATTTACCTCCAAGCATTCTATGAACAAGAAAAAGCAAAGATTTTGTAATGAAGCCTTGTGGAAATTTAAAAAAAATAAAAATCAAAAGATGATGAATGCTTTAGCCAACAAGATAAAGTTTCCTTCCCTCTTTGGTTTTTTTAAACATACCATAATGCAATATGTGATAACATGCAGTGAAAAAGTAGCTAGCGTCAAAAATTGCTTTGGACAGATTGAAATACAATAATGCAAAATCTGTGTCTAGTTGAGAAGGAGTCCTACAGATGAAAAAGAAATCTGGGAAATAGTGCTGTGAGAACAGGAGTTAGTGCTGGGAATGTTAATGTAATAACCCAAAAGGCATGACTTGAGCTCAAGTAGGAGCCGATGTTGTGAACTAGCTCTGGAAGACAGTGTCTTAAATAATATGAAATGATGCTCATGCCTGATGTGTTTGAAGTAATGGGCTACAGACTCACCTGTGAGTGTTTGAAAAGCTTCACCCAGCATCACATATACAATGAGGTGCTGGAAGGAAAGAAAGAAGGAATAATGGTGGGGATTGACAGGACTGAAGAGCAGGATGCAGACCAAACGGGTAATAAGGACTTTTCCTCACAGTCCTTTTATTAAATACTTTTCCAGTTTCATACACTTCTAACACTGGTTTTAATTTTAGCTCTTTAAAAACTAGAGTTCTCTAAGATCCCAGGCTGCTTTACATTGAAATGAATATGGTAATTTCCACAGAATCAGATTGTTGTGAATACATTTTCATTTATCCTCAATAGTTTAAAAGGATAAATCAGTGCTTTTCATACTTTTCATGGGTTTTTTACTTAAGTACAACAGTAACAATGGAATTGGTTGGGAAGTTTCCTTTTTTCTTTATTCATTACTGCTTTTTTCAACAGAAATTACAAAAACAGAAGAAAATCCCCAAATAAAGCAGGAGCCAGACCCAACGTGGTAGACCTCATCAGTGCTGGGTAAGAGAATTTAGCCTATCTTGAAGTCAATACCTGTTAAGGTAGAATATTTTTTGTCATTTGGGGTATCAGAAGAGGGCTGTGATTACAGGACTGACTGCCAAAAGGTACCAATCCTCATAAATTATGTCATTTGTCTCAGTTCTCAGCTATAAAATGGAGGATGTTTTCAGTACCTTACCCAAATGCAGTGTAAAACACACTGCTCAGATTTGGGAGGCAGGCAGCCCTAGCAAAATGTGGCCTATAAAGAAAAATGGTGATGGTAATTACATTGCTCAGAGGCAGAATAGATGAAGGCTTAGGGAATTAAGTGTTTATGAAGAGCTCTGACACAGTTGTGTGAAAGAGCAGCATTATTGTTGGTATTTCCAATGTATTTCCAAACCGTAACTGAGCAGGAAAGAGAAAATCTGCACTCTGATTGCAGTGTTGTCTAAGCTTGGGACACTTCATAAAGCTATTAGCTGTGATGACAAACCAGCTTCTTTAAAACGTTTTTTTTCTTTTCCATTAACTTTTATGAAAAGCTTAGTTTAATTTACAATGCAGAAATGTCCATAATTTTCTCTTACACTATTTTAAACTCCACATATTCCTAAAAGTGACATTTTGACATTTTGATGGAGATGGAAAGCAGTACTAGCGGTGCTGGCGTGTCACCAGATGTAACAGGCTGACCCACGTGGTTGTGAGTCTGCTTCAATAAGAGAAAATGCCAGTTTTTAGCTGTTGCAGCTCTGTCATGCTTTCTCCTGTTTCAGTTTTTAGATAATATTCCAAACCATGTATTTTCCTCATTGTGTAGTGTTTGATACTTCAGCAATTTGATGTGTTTGGCACCAAGTTGGCAGCATTTGTTTAGTACACTTGAGCTGTAACCCCTCCAGTTTAGTTAGAGAAGGACACGGTATTCCTCTTGGAGAAGGGAAGGTCTGGGAACTGTAACAGTTCTGAGGGCACAGACAGCCCACCCACAAGACCAGGCTCTGGGTCTTTATCACTCAGCTGCTCAGGCCAGCAGAAATAATGGGGTTTGCCCTTCACATGAGGCTGTGGGTAGGGGAGCTGGAGCCTGCAGGTTCAACTCCTGGAACCATGCAAGTTTTGAAGACTAGGACACTCTTGGCCATGGCCCTTTGTCCATGCAGGAGATGGGATAAGTGGCTGAAGAGACAAACCCAGGCATGATTTGGTAGAAACTTGCAGAGGCTGAAACAGCTGCAGCACTGAGAGCTGGACGTAAAGCAATGGTGTTCCTAATGAAGAGGTGAATTCTGCTTTGGAAATATTCATAAGAAAATTGAACAGGGTGGGAGAAAATACACTAAAGAAAACCTTGTGATCTGTGGTGGGAAGCACTTCAGCCAGCGGAGGTATAAAATCCCATCTCACTTGGCCGTTAAAGGTCATGGAAATTCTGTCTGCGCAATGGCTGCACAGTTTGGTGCAGCAGTGGTTTGGATATTTGGATGCTTTAGGCCATCCACTGAACTTAAACTAAAGCAACTATTTGATATAAATCCTTATAGAGACCACTCAAGTACATACTTAATCTTAAATTTGTTGAGAGCCATATTCAGCTTCTGCATGCTTCCTGAATCCAGGCCTAAAGAACTCCAAAGACAATGCCAGCTACTTCTATCTAATAAGATTCAGAGCTGCATTAAACTAACTGACTTTTGTAATTCGTCTTATCTAGTCAGAAGATCCAGTTCTGAGAAGAGCCTGCTGGGAATGCCTGGAGCTGTGTAATATAGCTGTATAAGAGAAGTACCTTCTATACAAACTCTTTTTTATATTTTTAGATAGAAATGTCTACTTTTTCAGCAGATCTGTGAATTGACTTAAATGAAAGAATGACTGTAGATTTGGAATGGCTAGGTTTAATTTGGAATATATTATAAGGACTAAATTTGATGCAGCAATGCTGGGGAGAGGACAAGGATTAAAATCAACAGGGACTTAACAGAGACTGTCTGCGTTTCCAGTAGAGCTGATTTTCACCTCACCTAATGCATTGCAGCTTTTGTAATACAGAAAAATTCCTGCAGGTAGTTCAGTTCGTTAGTTTTACTTTGGAAAAAAAAACCCCACAAACATTACATTTTTGTTCTGGCTGCTTTAATGGCTGATTGGACAATGCTATCTGTATATTTGAACTGATTTTTCCTAGGATACCTGTTGCAGTTCATATGCTTTTCATGAATAAAAGATCAACTGGTTCACTTGACCTTTAGCACACAGTAATGAGATGGACGATGAAATGGTCACTATTTCAGTGTGTGGATTAGGAACCCATTTAAATTAAACCCTGTTAGAGATTGTTCCATTAACTCAAAGTAGTGAATGCATGTTTTCTCAGGATATCACAAGGTTTCTACACAATGGGTCTGGTCTCACAGCCCTAACGTAGGCAAAGCCCACGTGGACCCGTGTGAGAGCATTTCTCATGAAGGCTCTGTGGATGCCCTCCTGATCTCTAGAAGTAGTTATAGAAATGTGTGCTCCAAGCTTCTGTAAGTCCCACTCTGCCAAAAGTTAAGACCCTTGTAGTCCTGGTGACTCCCATATGGTGAAAGAGACTCGTACGCATTTAAGCTTCACGACCCATAAGAGATGTCAAGTTCTGCCTGTATCATAATCTCTGTAGCAGAAGATGCAGATTATTGGAAGGGTTTCTTGTTCTGGTTTGGTTGGGGGTTTTTTACTGGCATGAGTTTGGGATGACTGCATTATGCACAAATGGTAAATCTTAAGCCTTGACTAAGAAATAAAGACCTTTCTGATGGTTTTCATGACTGTCCATGCAGAATACGTTTACAATTTCAAAACAAACTCTAGCAGTTATTCTGCAGGCAAGCAGAACATGCTGCAGCAGTTATTTGTGCCAAAGAACTTTCCAGTCATGCCTTTCAAACAGAAATACACCGCTGGGTAGGTGAGGTCGTTCTGTCTGCAAAAAAAACCGCCTTGAAGCCTTAAAGTGAGTTGGGTACAAAGTCTGTTTATTTTAAATGGGGGACATTAAAGACAACAGTACAACTACTGCGGTAGAAAAATTTTATAACAAGAATAGTAAACCAACAGTATAACAACACAACCTCCAACAGAACAACAATAAACACCAATAAACAACAACAGAACAACAATAAAACAGCACAACCAGAACAGCTTCAGAACAATAAACTCTTAAATAAACATCAGGAGCGCCGATGTTCTGCTGCTGGTGGCTGAAATGGCACCTTGGCATCGGGGTGGTCCTCCTCCTTGGAGAAGAACAAAAAACCAGACAGAACAGGTTTAGTCACATCCATGAACATTTTAGAAGGCAGGAGATGATCTTAACAGCTTAAATACGAAAATAAAGTGTTATTTCACTAAAGAACATTTCAATAGTTGTAAATTTTTCCCTATTTCAGACTGCACCCAACACCCACAACTACAAAGCTCACAGAGTAAAAGACCAGGCTGTGAAGCCCTCCCTCCTGGGGGTAGTGGGGACCCCACGGGCAGGGGGAGCGGCTCTCAGGTGAGCCCTGGCTCCAGCAGCCTCTGCCCCTCTCCCACTGAATGGCATCAGGGGAGAGAGCGCCACAGCTCCTGGGAGCTGGTAAATCCCAAACAGGTGAGGATGAGCCACAAATGAGAAACAATTTGAATTTGGGGAGGGGGAGGAGGACCCCATCCACTCTGGACTCCCCCAGTGGCCCCAGAGCACCCTGACATGGGGAGGGGGCACAGCAGAGGGGGGATAAGAAGGGAGGGCAGAGACTGCCAGGGCTGCATCAGAGGTTTGCACCTTAGGAACCGTGGCAAAATAAGCCAGGATGGAAACGCTGCACAGACGCCCAGAGCTTCACCAGCCTTGGCTGGGGAGTTCTTCCAGCAGGAAGAGTTCCCCCTGTCCCACCCCGGGCGCTGCCACCCAGCACGGCTTCTTGCCGGCAGCAGAAACGGGGCCTTGCCCCTCTCCCTCTCCAGGATCTCCTCCACGATGGGGTACTCGGGATTTAGCTCAGGGAACTGCCAAGAGAGAGCAGTAGCTTGGTTCCTTCTCCGGGCAGCCGGCAGAGCTGCTCTGAAGGAGGTGTGGAAGCAGGCCTGTGCCAAACCCTGAAGCTGGGGTTCTGCCACAGCCACCGCAGAGCTCCGGTCCCCATTCGTTGTGGCCCCGGCTTGGCGCTGAGGGCACAGCACCTTGCCCAGGCCAGTACCTGCTCCGGCAGCGGGCAGCAGTCACGCACAGCCACCACTCATTGGGGCAGGGGAGAGCCAAACTTCCCACCCAGCCAAGGACGAGACCTCCTGCCCCAAGGCAGGCAAGGTCAGGTCAGCCTGCCCCCAGCCCTGCAGGAACTGCACTGAGCACATTCTACCCCCGAGGAGGGCAAAAGATGCTGCAATACGGCCAGTACTGTACCAGCGCCAGTGGGTGGGTCTTGCCAGGCACCAGCAGGCAGGTGCTCCTCCTGCGTGGCCTTCCTTGCCCCAGGGAAGGTGGTGAGCTCGGGGACTGCCGCCGCTTCTCCTCAGGCCTCTCGACAGCTACAGGAGGAGACAAGTCAGGAGCAGCTCCCAGCAGAGGCGTTTGGCCTGCACCAAGGGGGTTGTTCCTTCTCACTCCTCTCTGGATGCCCGTCCTGGAGGGCAGAGCCAGGGACAGGGCCTTAAGCCGAGGACAAGGCTGCGATGCCCTGGGGAAGCTCTCACAAGAGCCCGCTGGGGCTCCACGGGCCAGCGGCCCCTTCCCACCACCACGGACGCTCCTTGCATGCTGCCCACCCACACCACAAAGCACACGAGGTGCCTCATGTGGCCACATCTTGCACTGTGCCACGGGGCCCTCTCCGCGGTGGGCACACGGGGTTTCCTCTCCTCTCTTTGGGCTGTTGGAAGTGTTGGGCCTGCACCAGTGGCCCATCCAATTTGGTACAGAGCTGGGCCTCAGCTACACTCACCTTCCTCGGTCTGCGTGGCCTTGTTTGCTGTCCTCGGAGTGCTCTCTTGCCGTCGCCACAATTCCCATTCCCTGTGCAAGTGGGAGAGAGCCAGTTAGGGTCAGCGCCAGGCTGGGACAGGACATGCCAGTGCCACACGGCAGCGTCACCGCTGCAGCCATCTGAGCCCTTCAAGCTCCAACCCGGCCTGGGGGCAGCGCAGGGATGGTGCTGGGCAGCGCTGCTGCCAGCACCGCAGTGGAACAAGGGAGGGGGGATGCTGATGGACACAAGAGGGCTTCCACACCGCTGGGTGACCCAGCAGCCATGACTCACGGGCCTGGAATAGCCCAGCTCCGGTGAGAGCAGGCCTTGGGCACCGGGTAAGCCAGGAAGGCGACAGCTTTCTTCCTGGCTGGCACTGACAAGCAGGCACTGGCTGGGTGAGCAGTACGTTACCTTCCTGTCCAACGTGGCGCCTCATGGTAGGATCCTGCGCCAGACTCCAGGGGCTCCCTCACGCACATCCTCCTCTATTGGAATGTGGAAAGGGACCAGGAGTAACTAATGTGGTTCAGGGGAGCACAGCCTCCCTTTCTCCTGCTCACCGCAGAGTAAATCCCATCCCCCAGGTGCTGGCAGCTGAGCCCAGAGCCTCTCTTGCTTCAACGCTGCTCAGCTCCCCTCCGCCATGTCCATGGAGGGCAAAGTCTGCGCACCCCAAACTGAATTCCCTCTGGGAGCAAGCGGCCTCCAGGCTCTGAGGCAAGTGGCCTCAGAGCAAACCCTTCCCTACTCAGCCACCCTGGCTAAAAGCTTTCCCTGCACAGCTGCAGAGCTCCATCGGCCACGACTACGGCCCACTGTTACACCTGCAAGCCCAGCCCAGGACGTGAGCAGTGTTTTAGTACAGCTTAGCAGGTGCTGAGAAGACCTGCGTCGAAGCGGGAACACCGCTCCCGGGTGTGCTGCTGCCTCCAGCTGCAAAGGTGCCAGCGCAGCAAAGAGATTTTGTCCTTTCCTTTCCCCTGGATGTGTCCCCCCTGCAGACTCCCAGGGCAGAGCAGGGACAGGAAAAGAGCACTGCGCGGGGCCGTGGCTGTGGAGCGCTGCTGGGCGTTGGGCCCATGGGGAGCCCCTGGGCACCTGACTGTGCCAGCGTACCGGCAGGGAAACGGCCTCAGCGCTCCGGTCCTGCGGCAGCGGGTGCCAGTGGTGCACGGTCTGCGGGGGAGAGCGCCTGGGGGGCAGCCACTGTGGTGGAGAGCGCAGGGGCTGAAGGCGCCTGGCGGGACCGCAGCACCCACCAGACACCCCCCGCGCCCAACGCCGCTCCCAGCAGCGATCCCTGCAGCAGGCAGGTGACCGCCACCAACGCCACCAACGCCACCAACGCCACCAACAGCGCCACTGCCAGCACCCACGGCGAGTGCCGACGGCAGCGCCAAGGGCCCAGCAGCACCATCGCTCTCGCTCTCTTCTGCAACGGCCACCGGCCCAGAATGGGCTGCGGGAACCACGTCCCGGCACCTCCACAGTCGCTGCGTTCTGGAGCTCGTGGCCCTGTTCCACCGGCCCCCCCCTTCCAACCATCTTCCCCTGACAGCCCTGTGCCCCCCGCGCCCCTGGCAGCCAGCGTCCCTGTGCCACCCCTGGCCTGAGCCCACCCTCGCCTCTGTGCCTGCAGCTTCCAGAGCCCTGCTGTGTCCTGCCGGGATGTGCGGGCTGGCCCCGCGCACCCAGCGCTGCAATAAAGAGTGCCCGCTTGCTAAAACTCCACGTCGACTCTTAGCGAGTTCTTTCAGCCGCCCTTTCGGTCACCGCTCACCACTTGTGGTGCTGCTGTGGACAAGTGCTGCTGCCCAGGGCTGAACCGGCGGAGCCTGGGAGCTGTGGTGACACACGTCACTGCCAGGGCAGGGCAGGGCAGCGCAGGGGCACCAAACTCGCCAGGAGGGAGCCGGGGCACCCAGGGAATGCCCGTGGGAAATAACAAACCGAATGCAAATGACCAGGTTTCTGATCTCGGCAGCTGCCAAGCGCCGCTCCTGAGATGCAGGGGGAATCTGTGCTCAGAGCTGGACCGGGTTTTACTGCAGGCAGAGCAAGCTTTGGTCTATACAGCTAGTAAAAGCATCGCGGGCTCCTCCTGAGCTCTCAGGGGACAGCCCAGCACTGGCACCCCTTGTAATTTAGGATGCCCTTGCTGGAGACAAAGGTGTTGTATTGAGGCGTGCAGCCCTCGCGTCCCTTCAGGTCCTTCTGGTGAGAGCTGGGGGCAGAGGAGGATGCTGCTGCTGTGCTGCCATTTCTGAGAGGCTTTGCAAGGCTCCCTCACGCTCTCCCGCTGGGAGGCAGGGCTCCATCTCCAGCCCAGCGGTTTCCCCGTTGCCCATGGCCAGTGCTGCCATGCAGTGGGCACAGCTGTAGCACTGGGGCTGGCTCAGGTCCCCGACGGGGGCTGCTCAAGGGAGCCTTTTGGGGGCAGATTCTGGGGGAGCTGCAGGTGACTGAAAGGAAACGGGCACGCAAGGCAGGAGCTCTGGCACGTGCAGCCTGCGGCTGCCCCATCCTGCCTGCGCCTTGCCCCCAGCTTCCCCACCTGCCCTCTCCCAGCCGTACAGATTATGCCGCTGCCATCC